AAAGAGGCAGTGCACAAAGGGACAGGTACAAGTCACCAGGAACACGGAGAGCAACTCCGGGGCGTGCCAGTGAGTGCTGATCAGAACACTGGGGGGCCTGTGGTAACATTTTGGAGTGACTGATTAAATTATTGAGATGGATTCTCCACTGTTGGCAAGGGTGGGGAGAGGTGTGTGCTCTCACACTGATGATGTAACATGTGATACACTGATGCCAAGTTCATTGGAGGGGAAGTTAGAACCTATATCAAAGGTGTAAATAATGAAGGTTTAGTGTTATGAGTTCTGTGGCAGATTAACTACTATTGACGTGTGCCCTGTACTTTACAGATTTTTGTTTCACTTTATTATTTTTACTTTTAATAATGCTTCCAGACTTCTGTCGCAGAGGCAGGAACTTAACTCTCTCAGGTTCTTTTGGCTGGTCTACTCATTTAATTGAAGTGAGACGGGTTAACAAAAGAACCAAGTTTAATTACATACATAGACGTGGTAATCCCACATACATGGGGGAGTCGGAGGCCCCCATCCCACACACAGGAGGTTCCAAGACAGAAAGTTGAGATGAGGTGTGCGTGACATTCTGGGCTGAAGGTGGGGGAGGGCAGTTTGGAGCGTCAGAGGGGAGGAAAGTCACCCTGGATGCTGGCAGATGTTCAGTAATCAGTAGTTTGCCCTGCCATGTAGATTGGTCAACCAAAAGCTATTTCTGGTGATAACTTTTATTATGGGTGAGGCCCCTAATTTAAATTCTTTAAGGGAGAGGTAAAAGTTTCTCACGAGACTCAGGATCTTGATTGCCTTCAACTCAAAATAATTTATATGTCAAAGTGGAACATTTTGGGAGCCCTTTTCAGAACCCCCACACTTGTAACTAATAGAGGTATATCATTTTAAGAAGAGAAAAACATGCTTTCAGATAATCGAAAGAAACCTATTTGCATCAAAAATGCTTCTTTGGAAAAGATTAAGAGAAGGGTTTCTTTCAATAATGAGTGACCTTTTTTAAAATTAAATATGAGTTGACTTTCAGTACAATAAATGGTTTAATTTTACAGCTAGAGGGAAGTGTGCCCCTGGCTGTTGGCATGGGTTGGGATTGGTTGTGGGCCCCTGAGTGAGCCCCGTCTAATTCTGGTCAGGGCTTACTCAGGAACAGAATTCAGATTCGGGGAGACGGTTGTCTGAGGGAAGTGGTGGCGTAGACAACAGTCTGGGGATTCTGTTGGTACCGTAGACTTGAGACCAGAGGTGGGAGTGATGTTGACTTGGAGAGAATGAGGAAGCTCAGCTGATTCTGGTGACTGGCCATGTGTGGGAGGTAAAGGACGATGAACGAATGAATGATGGGCTCCTTGGCAGAAACTGGGCTGGCAAGAGGGAGACAGTAGTTTGAGGAGGGCCACGAGGCTTTTACTGCGAGTCAAGTTTGTTGTGACGATGGAACACTCAACATCATTAGGGTGGAAAGGCTGTGAGGGGGCATTTAGTGAAGACCTGAGCTTCAGGAGAGGTTTGGTAAGAAAAAAAGCAGAGAGTTAGGTGCTCAGGGACTGAAAAGGAGTCTTGGTCAAAAGGAGTCCCTGGTGGGAGCATCTGGGAACATGGCAACCAGGAGACTGTGTATTCAAAATTTGTAGTTAGTCCTAACTGTCCTTACCTGGCTTTCTTATGACGGGGAAGCTCCTCTTTCACAGCAACTTGTCCAGACCTTCTGTCTTCCTTCCGAAGCAGGTGGTTCACTCCATCTTCTTTCCTCTGATCTTCCCTTCCCGCCTCATTCATTCTAGGAAGCCTGACTCTTTCCATACCTGTGTTTACCCCCTTCCCACCCGATCCCTGCCTTTCCTTCATTCTCAGAGGAACAGAAACCCACCTCTGCTATAGAAGTCGCCCTCATTAGTCCAGTAGAGTCTCACCCTGCCTCTTCTGGGAGCCTTGCAGCTTCCTTTCCATTTCCGTCCATCTTCAGCCTCTTATTCCTTCATGCTTTGGGTTATACTCAGAGATCTGAGGGAGATCACAGATTCCCTCCTCAGCAGAGTCAGAGGGAAATGAACTTCCTCAGGTCTCGATTCTTAAGCATTTTATTTTATTTCATTATTTTTAAAAAGATTTTATTTATTTATCTTTAGAGAGGAAGGGAAGGATAGAGGGAGAGAAATATCAATGTATGGTTGCCTCTCGTGAGTCCCCTGCCGGGAACTGGCCTGCAACCCAGGCATGTACCCTGACTGGGAATTGAACTGCAGTTTTTTGGTTCACAGGCCCATGCTCAATCCACTGAGCTACACCAGCCAGGGCAATTCTTAAGCATTTAAATTTTTATCTGGTCTGCTCTTCAAAGTATGTGAGAAAATGTTTCCGAACTGGTTTTCAGACCATGGAGCCCCCACAAGGGGACGGCCTTCTGAAAATAGGACTCTCCACCCCCGGTTCAGAACAGCCTTTCTAATTCTGATCAGGGATTCCTTTGGGTGAAGTAGTTTGTGGGTTAATAAAAAGTGAGCCACTGGTTTTAACAATAAATCACGGCACGTTCTTCTGTGAGTTATATGCTAACACTCTGTGTTAGCACCTCGGAGTGTTTCATCTGCAGAAATTTATCTTATATTGTAGACTGCTTCTTTTCACAGCTTATCACTGGAAAGAAATGAAAACATGGCTAGGTAAAAATAGTCTTAAGTGAAATTACTTCTGTGCATAACCGACATAAAAATCTTGACCTAATTGTCTTCGGAATGAGGCTTATCTCCCAAAGGCTGCAGACTGAACTCAAGGGAAATGTTTCAGTCTTCAGGAAAGGGTGACCTGGCAAACATACTACTTAAAAAGAAGTCTAATTTCAGGCCCCTTTTAGAATGTGAGGAAGCCACAGCATGTATAGCCAAGTGTAAAATAATAGATTCGAAGATTAATTTTTGTGTTTTCACACATATATATTTGTAGCTTTTCTATGATGCAAATCACTTAGAAACACTTGAGTCCACTTGTTCCTTTTCTATTTGATTATGTGATAATACAGTATTGGCACTTTAAAGTGTAGATGCATCCTTAGATTTGCTCTGCGATATCTAAGGCAGACAGGTCACCAAAATTTTCTTCCTCCATCTTACGATTTAAAAATGCTGTCTGTGGGCGCACACACACACGCACATGCAGTCGTGTGCACACGCACACTCATCACCAGTGTCCTATGACCTTGGGCCCATCACTCTGCTTTTCCACAGGTCCACTGCATTAGATAGGAATTTCAGTTGGGTGGCCTCTGTCCCTCTAATTTTAACCCCATTAATCTGGTTTCCTCATGGACACGGAAAGTGCACTCTCGCTATTTAATCCTCCTACCTCTTTGAAATTGCTTTTGATCAGCTATCTTAGTTTGGACTTCCTCAGAAGCAGACTGCAGACAAGGATTTAAGTGCAAGTAGTTTATTTGGGGTAAAGGTCGGGAGTGGAAAAGTGCGACAAAGAGGATGAGGTGGTCAATAAAGAGTGTGTGCTAAGCCAGCTCCCACTGCGGACAGCCGGTGCTCGGGTCTGGGGGAGAATGTGGGAGCCGGTGTAGAATGTTTTCCTCACAGTTATTCCACCTGAGGGGTGAGGGAGGGGAACTTGTACTGTAACTTCTCCAGTCTTTGGTTGAAGGCTGCTCTTGAGGGGCAAGAGTGTGGCAGTGCTTTTTACAGATCAGCAGCCAGGATGTGTGTCCTGAAGTGGTAGGAGAGAGCATGTGGGCAGGGCACCCACAGCACTTTCTGTCCCAGGCTCCTGACTGAACTTTGTGGTTTAATGTCAAGAGCACCATGGTTTCTGGAGTAGACTGACCCATGCTGACACCTCACAGGTATTCCTGAATAATGTTCAGTCCCATCTGCCTTTAGAAAGGCAAGGAAAAGCCTGACTCTACTGCACATATTAGTCTTTCTTTAAAGAGCATCCCAAGCCCTTCAGTGTCTAAGCAAGAGCACACCAAGAGCAATGCCTGAGAGGACCGTGTCCACTCTGCAGCAAGCGTGGCGATAAGTGCTGGGGATCCAGAAAGCAGAGACCTGCTCCTGGCCCAGAGGAGCTCGTGGGCTAGTGGGTGATGATTGGGTGGCTTTCCGAGAGAGGCCTTGTCAACTGGGAAAGGACTTGAAGTGAATTAGCTACTCATAACAAATTTGTTTGTGGGTGCTTTAGAATTTGGGTCAAACCTTCTTCACTTTCAGGCCCTGGTTCTTCCTTGTTGGCTGAATAACATGGCGTGAAACAGCCTGCAGTCTCTCTGAGCCTCAGTTTCCTCGGCCGCCAATAGGATTACTGATACCTATTTCATGAGATTGTTTGAGGATTAACTAAGATAACCTTGAAAACTAAAATAACCTTGGATTTGGGTAGAAGAGAGGACAGGGATGTGGGAGAGAAGGTTAACAGATAAGTCGCTTAACTGTAGTAAGACAGCAGGACAGAGACCGGAAGAGTGGGTTTGGGGTCTTGACCCTGGAGGATGTTCAATCTCAAGCTCCAGTGGGAACTTTGCTGCAGAGAGTGAGGTTCATTGTGTTCAGAAAGGTTGAGGGAAAGGGCCTTCATTTAGTCTTTGTACTGATACGATACTGAACCATTCACAGCATCTAGAACTCAGCTTTCAGGGAGTTTGCTTTTAATGTCCCTCAAGCGCAGACCTCCAAATCCCAGATCCACCTCTAGGACCACAGAACCCTCTTGATGTGGTGGAGCATTTGCTGATAGGGAAACACAGAAGAATTTGACACCATGATGACCTGACTTGGTGCCAAGGAGTTCTGGACTTTAAATATATGTTAGTTAGTATTAGACTGGTTAGCCTCTGGTCCATTTTCGAGGCAGAGGTTCAGAAATTTCCTGTTTGCCATGCAACCTCATGGGTTGGTGTCCTTGAAGGTTTGTGAGAGACAACCTTCCATTCTCAAGTTGAGAGTGTTTGCAGTTTCCAACTAACTTCTCACATATGTTCCTTTCATCTTTGTCCTAAGCTGCTCACGTCTCCCACTTGGAGAACGTATCAGAGGAAGAAATGAATAGACTCCTGGGAATAGTGTTGGATGTGGAGTATCTCTTTACCTGTGTGCACAAGGAAGAGGATGCTGACACCAAGCAAGTTTATTTCTACCTATTCAAGGTACGATTCTAACCTTGTAAAAGGCTTTTCCTCTTTCTCTCATTGTTCGAATGTGCTCCGTTTCCACGTACCAGGTCATGGGCAGGAAGGCTCTCAGCTCTTGGTACATTTTGCCCACAGGGTTTGCTGGCACATGTGTTTCTGCATGACGCACCATATGTTGAACACCTGACTCTCCTTGAGAGCCTTCAGACTTGTATGCCAAGTTCAGTGTCCTTGTTTGCTTGTGCTTATGATTTCTGTCCATCCCCCCATCCATTCACCCACGCGACAGATGTGTATTGCACTCCTGCTCTTCGCATGGCATCCTGTAGGCATAAGGGATAGATCCGTGGGCAAGGAAGTCTTTGCCCTCATGGAGTTTCCATTTGGGTAGAAGAGGCAGACAACCAACAAGTAAATAATATATTTGCAGGTAGTGATAAGTGCTGCGAAGAGAAACAAAGTGTAGGGTAAATGGAATCAGAAGGGCAGGGATGGTGGTGTGGTCGGGGGGCACGGTAGCGAGGAAGCGCAGTTAGGAAAGGCCCCTCAGAGATGACAGTTGAACAGAGATGCAAAAGAGGTGATAGGAGCCTTCTCTGAAAAGGGTTGGGGGAAGAGCCTTCCAGCCAGCAGGAGGCACAAGTGTCTGGGCTGTGTGCCAGATGAGGTGGATGTGACATGGGAATAGCAAGGAGACCAGTGTGCGGAGCCTAGTGAGTGAGGGGAGGCTGGGAGGAGGTGGGCTCAGGGTGGTGGTGTTGGGGGCTTTGACTCTTTAGGCTTCGAGGGGAGCAGTTAGGAATTTCCATATTTGCTCTGGCATCTTCCCACTCTTCTCTGCGTCTTGTTGACGCGAGTCACTGACTAGTGAGTGCCACCGCTCCCCATAGCTGTGTCTTCATGGCTCCACCTCAGGTCCTTTGGATCCTGTCCCTTCCCTGCTTCCAGACCTGTGTCCCCCCAAGCTTCTAATTTCAGTTGGACTGAGAGAGGTGGGAGGGAAACTGGTAATGGGACTAAAAATCGATTCAGAAAGAAGGATGACAAAAGGAATAATTTAAAAAACCAACCTGTTATTGAAGACACTACTGTGCTGTAGTTTGTAAACTTACGAGGATCTTTTAAAAACAAAAACAAAACCCCGAACACTCCATTAGAGCTAGGGAACATTTTCTGCTTCCAGTGAATGCTGGGCTTCATTTTATATGATGAGGGCAGATACATTTTCCACTGAGTTCCCTCTTTTGCTGCTAGGAGTCTTGGTGAAAATTCCGTGCCCAGTTCCTGTAGGTTTTTTGTTGTTTGTTTGAATTTACTTGGTACACCATTTTCCCTTCTTTTTTTTAACTAATGGGTTTTTTGGAGGTCGATAGGGGATAGGAGTGAAGAATAGTATTTTTAAATTAGGGGGTCCTAAGGAAATATTAACTCTAAAAAGGTTAGTTGGGAGGAGAAAGAGAGAAAAGAAGGAGAGAGAGAAAATGTATGAATGAATAACAATTCCCCACAGCCATTAGCAGGCACTGGGCTACTCCAGGTGACAATTTGTTGACATGGCTCTGAGGCCTGAGTCATCAAGGTTGAGCCCTGGCAGGTTCATACGGTTTAGAGCTTCTTTGGAAAAAGATCTGAGTCGAAGGAAAACAGTGCTTGCATGGCTGCAGCTACTATTTGTCTTGGAACTTAGCTCCCTGGCTGTCCCCTGTGCCCTGTTGGAAGTGGAAGGTGGTGTCAAGGTTTCCATCCTGTCAGCCTCCTCTTGACCCACCAAGCACTGCTCTGCTTGGAAGTGCGTCCTCTCTCTCCCTCTTACCGCCCTCTTCTTTAACAGCGCCAATATTTTTGCTTGGGGAACAAGATCCAAAATACTCAGCATTCTTCCCCTCTCCTCCCCACCAAGTCATTCTTTGGGCAAATTTAGTTCTCAATCATTCTTCCTTAACTTTTAAGAGGCAGCTCTCGTGTCTCATACGTTTCAATGATTCAAATGTAGTATACATTTTAGTAGCATTAAAAATAAACTGAAGTCTTAGATGTTGAAAATAAACTCAGTTGAAAAGCTGAGTGCTAAAGCTCAGTGTCTCCCCCGCGCCTGTGAATGTGGCCCCGGAGCCCAGCTCTCTGGGGTTAAATCCAGCTGCATCACTTACCAAATGTGACCTTGGGCTAGTCCTTCTCTCTCAGTTTCCTTATCTGCAAAATGCAAACAATAATAGCCCCTGTGTCAACAGATTGTTTTGACTATTAGATAATATGTACCAAGAACTACAGAGAATGCCTGGCAGAAGTGAGGATGCAAATGCTTGCTATTATTAAAATTTGTTGATACGCCCATTTATCCCAGTGTTATTCTTTTGTAGAAAATAAGATTCAACAGTTCCCCAGTCCAGCAGTTTATCTCCGCAATGAAACCCCCCACAGGCCAAGTTCCCAAACGGTCTTATTTTTACTGGAGGGAAAAAATGGCAACCAGAATTATTTGTATTTAAATTTTATGATCAATTTTTATGTATCCTTAGAATCACGCACAGTGGCTTATTGCACATTTGCTCTTGTAAAGATGGGCATAACACAGCGACTGGATCGACAGCGCCCTGCACTAATAATTTACATGACACCCCTAGAGACCACTGAGGCCCTTGTAGTACATACCCAGATGGGGACACCTGGGGACCTTCAACCTTGTGGGGTTGTCCATGTTCATTAACTCTTAGGAGAATGGGTGCCTTGTTTTGTTTGTATTGAAAAGGCAGTGAGTCGAGAGAGGAGGGGGAAAAAGTAACCAATAAATGCAGGGTCATGTATCATCACTAGCCCACATGTGAAGGTTCGAGCAAAGGTGGAAGGTAAAGAATTTTAATATTAAATTTATTTCCAAACTAGGTTTTGATTAGTGGCTCTCTGTTTTCTTCTCTCTCTGATATTTGCTCTTTGAGGGCTTAGAATTCCAATGGCAGGGATTAGAGCAGCGTTTTGTTTTGTTGGTATTGAAATGCCAGAACACTTGGCCTGCGTTCTGCAGGCGGAGAGGAAATGAAAAAAGACCGCAACAGTGAAAGTTGCCAGTTGAGAGCCCTGCAAAATGCCTTCCAAAGAAGCTCGGGCCTTGGGATTCTGACGGTGATATACGGCTGCCACAGACAGTCCCCGCCTCCCCGACCCCCCACCTCATTTGTGCAAAATAGATCTTGGCCTTTCCGGGGCTTAAACAGGACCCCCCTCTAGGGTGTTATTTAGCATACCTTCAGTGTTCTAGATGGGTGTGTGCAAAGTTTGCATGGTGTACACCAGACCCCTGGGTCAGTCAGTGGAAAGCCAGAAACAGAGTGGGGAGAGGGGACAGTGCGTAGGATACAGGTGTCTGGTGGCCTCTGCTGCCCCAGGCTGCCCACAGTGTGAAAGGTGTCTAGTTCCTCGTGGCTCTGCTCGTGGGTGTGTGCAAACTTGGGTTACCTGGTAGTCAACCCATTTCGTGATTTAAGGCTTTGTTTACATGTAGTTGAGATAAATAGAATATGGTGACTTTCCTTCAAAGCCTCTGTGTGTGTGTGTGTGTGTGTGTGTGTGTGTGTGTGTGTGTGAGAAAGAGAGGGAGGGAGGGAGGGAGGGAGGGAGGGAGGGAGAGGGACAGAGAGGGACAGAGAGAGAAGCTCTGATTGATTTTTAAAAATGATTTCTTTGCAGCTCTTGAGAAAGTCTATTTTACAAAGAGGAAAACCTGTGGTTGAAGGCTCTTTGGAGAAGAAACCCCCATTTGAAAAACCTAGTATTGAACAGGTAAAAAGAGAAAAAGAGAAGTCCCCCCCCCCCCCCCCGCTTTTAAAAATTGCTTTAAGGCTGAATGAACCTTTTAATCTTCCTTTCACATCTTTTTTTCTATCCTCCATACCCCCCTTAGAGATGCTCCCAGTCTGTAGAAATTGTCCTGGGCCCTTTGGCTCAGAAGTGAATACTTAATTAATGACCTAGCTTTTGTCTTTTAGGGTTGCCGTATACTCAGAAATCACTGTGTATTTGGGGAAGGAAAAAATTAAGTAGAACATGTAATTTGTAAAAATATATAAAATATGCTTCTTCTTGGTGTTCATGTTTAAAAATTAAGTCTTTCATTCCTTTGCTTGGAATTGTCTGAAAAAGCTTGTCGATGTGAGGGAATTCAGTAGCAGTGTGAAAAAACTGTGAGCCCAGCAAGCAAAGCAAAAAAGAAATGAGGTTTTTGAGTCCAGAAATTGACTTCCCGCTATATTGTGATTCCTGGAAAGAAGTCGATCTACTCGGGAAATCCGTTGACACGTGCAGACTTTTTCTGTTAGGTGTTGTCAGTCTCTTTCACCAGCATCGTTCTTTAGCCTGTCGTTTGGCTGAATAAATCTCGTACTGTTGACTGAATCTCTTGATGAGGATGATTACAGAAGACACGGTATCAGAGCCCTTATAAATAAATCTATTTTTATCAGTCTGTTTGCAGTAGAAGAAATTTTGTTTTCAAACTCTATTAAATAAGAATTTGTTGTTGTTTTTTAAAATTTGACATTAGGTTAGACGGGACTGTTCTGTAGACAGATTAAATTAATCCACAGATTCTTGACAAAGCTCATAATTTTGAATAGGATTTGTTTTTGGAGGGTAAGCTTGCTGAGACTGAGAGTGACAGTAAAGAGCTTAAAATCTAGTGGAGTTTAGGTATACTAGTGGTCTTTTCATTAAAATTTTGCTAATGTAAAAACATTATTTATCCACGAGCCTCATTAAATGTGAGCTATTGTGTTGATAGTACAGCAAGAATTATTCTGCAAAGTGGTCATATTTTATTGTTTAAGGGGCTTTGACCTTTTCAGTCTGTGATTTTGATTTTCTTTTTAACCTGTCAGGATTGCGGCAGGCACAGAATTGCAACTCACAGCCTCTCTCTCCTGTCACTTTTCATTTGCTGTGATCTGAGGCACAGCGGATGCCCTCTTGGCATTCCTGCTCTCTAACAGGGAAAAGGAAGAGCTTTTTTGTGACTAGGGAAATGTCTGTTCCTTTGCTAAGAATGCACCAGTGCTGCTGTCTGTGTGGGTGTTCAGAATTAGTGTCATTCCAAAGCTGCATGGATAAATTGCCTTTCTTCCTTTTAAGGGCGTGAATAACTTTGTACAGTACAAGTTTAGTCACCTGCCACCCAAAGAAAGGCAGACAATAATGGAGTTGGCCAAAATGTTCCTAAACCGGATCAACTATTGGCATCTGGAGGCCCCATCTCAGCGAAGACTGCGATCTCCCAATGACGATATTTCTGGCTACAAAGAAAACTACACAAGGTAATCAGGTGACCAGTTCTTTGCCGTTGGGCCCCATAGAGCACATCACAGACACAAAATTGCTACTTGTCTCTGCAAGCAAAGGGTTGTCCATTTCCCATGGTGACATCATCAATTCAGAGAAAATGTCTGTGTAGTTTAAGGGTCCAGACTTCCACTTTTTATTCATATCATGATGTTTTGGGGGGTGAGGGATGCAAACCGTAGAGCTGTACTTTCCAATATGATAGCTGCTACTCACAGGGGGCTTCTGAGTGCTCAAAAAATGTGGCTAGGAAAAAGAATGTGAAGTATTTCATCAATAGTGTCTTCTGTTGATTACATTTTAAAATGGTAATATTTTAGATGCATTGAATTAACTAAAATATGTTAATTTTACCTGTTTCTTTTTATTCTTTGATATGACTAGTGGAAAATTTTAAATTGCATGTGGCTTGCATTATATTTCTATTGAACATCGCTGATTTAGATAACAATACCATAACTCTGTAATTCTCACACAAAGATCTCATTTGAAAAATGCAATGACCAGGAATATAAAAAATTTTTAAAGCAATTTTTTAAAAAAGTTTTTTTAAACAGAGGGGAAGGGAGAGAGGAAGAGAAAGAGAGAAACACTGATGTTGGGATCAGTTGGTTGCCTCTCCCACACCCTCAACTGGGGACCTGGCCTGCAAACCAGGCATGTGCCCTGACTGGGAATTGCACTGGCGACCAGTCTGTTTGCAGGCCGGCACTCATCCACTGAGCCACACCAGCCAGGGCTAAAGAATTTGTTTTTAAAGAAGGGGAGGTCACCCTAGTCCCAGCACCATGACAGAACTAATGTTGGTATAGATATTATCTTCCAGCCTTTACTTTTTTAAGTAAATATTTGACATTAGTTAGAATGAAAGAAAATACAGAATTTGCATCCTTTTTGTCTCTCCACTTAACACCTATTGTTTTACTAGCTATGTTATAGTTCGTTGAGTTGATGTACCACAATTTACCTAACCATTTCCCTGTTGGTGGGTATCAAACTCTGAAGACTCTTGGATTGCACATGTTTTTTCCTAAAGTGGGAGTTTATTTTGATTGCTTAGGAACTGATAAATTGCCTTAAAAAATCTTAAACATGGGCTATGCACAATAGAATGACCTATATTTGTTTTCATTAAAGTAAGAAAGTGACTTGGATTCTCCATTCTATTCCTCCTTTATACCTTTCCCTGTAGATTTAATGGGCATAACGAGCTTGCTTAGGGGAATATTATGAGTGTGTGTGTGTGTGTGTATATATATATATATATATATATATATATATATATATATATTTCAGATTTAAAGTACAGAGTGATTTTCATTCTGTACTTTAAAGACCACTCGTCCCCAGGTTATTTTCAGTGATGGCGTGTAGGGATGGGTGTAGTTTAAGGTAGGGCTTTCCCCTCCTGTTCACTGGCCTGATTTCATGAGAACTTCCCCTTTTTCCTCACCTCCCTCCTTTTATAGTAGATACTCCCTCTCTTTTAAGAGAAAGTATTTTCTCTTAATTATCGACTTTTTGAGGAATTACAGATTTCTTGAGAATCAGTTGTTAAAGTATACCTTCATTTCTGCACCTCCATTTTAGAGTTTTACATTAATAACAATTTCTGTATTGTTGTAATGGTTGTTTGAAATGAGTTGAGGTATATCTCTCAAAGATAAATGCCCTTTAACCCCATCTGTGAACAGTGGGCAAAGCCGAATGTTTGTCAGAATATTTGCCATTCTTAACAGGAACAATTGTTTCATCAAGAAGAGGAATTAAATGTGAAGCAACATGGAAGATATTACAGTGTTTTAGAAAGCAGAATGAAAATACTATTAGCACTCAGGACTGACCAAGAAACAGGTGGAACTTACGAATACTTAGGGAGCAGTAAAACTAGAAATACGCGTTTGAACGTATTTTGGGTTTGAACCACAGCCCTGTTCCTTCCTGGTTCTGTGTTTAGACCATCCTTTCACCTCCTGGACCTTCAGTGTCTCTCTGTCCAAGTCTCACTCGGGTGGTGAGTGTTCCACGAGGTGGTTTTGTGCAAAGCGTCTGGTGCCCAGGACAGGTGCTGGGCAGACACTAGTCATCGTTTCCTCCCACACATGTTGTCGCCAAAAGCTCTGTCACTGCCAACAGGGGACTCTTAAGCTAGAGCGTGTACCGCTGAATAAGTGCACCGAGAGTGCACTTGTTGGAACATCACTTTAGAAACTAAGGTCACAAGGGGAAAGGCAGCAGCGGAGTCCTCTTCAGCCCAGCAGCCCGCGCCAACAGCTGAAGGCAGAGAAGGGGAGTCAGCCAGTGATGAAGACAAACCCGCTCAGAGGCTGAAATGAATAGGCCCTGATGAGTTCTGAAACCTGCTGATTTCTAGGTGGAATGTAGACCAAGAGCCTCTGTTAATAATACATAAGGAAATGAAGGTAGACAACCCTTCCTCTGCTTCCCCACCATCACGGATGAAGAAAGGGAAGTAGAAACAACCTGTGAAAATTATGAGGATGATTGTTTCAGGGTAAAACCTCACTGTCCTGACGACTTGGGAATTTAAATAACCACACATTACTGCAACATGGTGTCTCGCTGATACTAATCTTCTAAAAAAAATGGGTAATATTACAGGCTGCAGGCACACTGGACTTTATCTTGATGTGTAAGTGAGCCTCAAGGCCGGTAATGCTGGCTCAGGATATAATTTACAGCAATTGTGGCGATTAGAACCAAGGGGCTGAACCTGGAGCTCCCATCAGAATGAACATGGGGTGAGATGGGATTCTCTGAGGACGAGAGTGGACTCAGAAAATGGTCTGTCTGCTACAGAGCTAACTCTTGAACACTGACCCGATAAAGAAAATTGAACATAAATTGAACAGTAGAACTGCTTAAATTACTTGTACTCTCTGTTTTGAGTGGAGGAAAGATATCTATATTGAAAACATTTGACATCAATGTTAAGATAGACTTAAAGTTGATCATTGGTACAGGTGTATATCAAATATACATTATATATAGTCCCCAGAAATCACCATCGTTTCAAAAAAAAAAAATCTGGGCAAATTTTTGAAATTCCCTGAATTTCATGATGGTGCACTAATATAATTATTCAATGAAGAAATAACCTGCAAATAAAGTATTAGAGGAATGTGATCTATTATAAAATACACCTGACCAACAGAATATGCTAAAAGAAAGTGGCAAATAATTTGTCTTTAATGCTGAGATGTGCAGAACTTTTGAAAGTTAATGTCACCTCTATATTGGGGAGATGTTTTGTAAGGCTGTAGGGCAAGTTAGAAGTAACTAAGTTGATTTTGGTGAAACAATTTCAGGTGAACATCATTCGGTGAAGTATGGCCAGCCACCATCCTTCCTGGGCATTCATAACTAGCCATGTAAGTCTAGGACAGTCTATGAGCAAGCACAGAAGGAACAGTGGGTTAGGGGATGGGAGACCTAGCTTCTAGTCTAAACTCTAATAGTAAGTAGCCTTTAGTTTGGGCGAACTAGGAGAGGTCACTTCAATCCTTTGAAACCCTTAGGACTTTCAGCAAGTAAAGACGAAGACATGGTCTGCTGCCCTCAGGCTCCCCAGTTCTGTCCATGCTTTAAAGAAAGCAAGGTGGTTGAGAATGATCATGACCTGTAAAAAATCTGAGTTATTTGAACAATGAGTAAAGAGCATGCACAGGCCATCACTATTAGGCATGCAAAAATGAATGAGCTAGCCCTTCACTTCTTTTCAGATGTGAAACCAGTCACCTAGGCAGAATCTTTCTCTACATTTAAGTCTTTGGAGGGATGTGTGTGCAGAGACGGGGCACACAAGTTCCCATTTCCATCTCACTACACGCAGGGTCCCTGTCAGTTATTGAAACAGTGCCGAAACGCTGCACTTTGACTCAGTCTCCTTGTCTTATCAAACTTATTTATAAAGTACAATTGGTCTTGGAAGGAAATACAAAACAAAACTAAAAAGTGTCCACTGAGTTCTATAAAATAGTTTTCAAGGAAATGAATGGAAACTTATTATTGGAAAAATTTTTCTAGATGATAAACTGTGCTGCCTCCCTCTTATCCTGGGAAGATTAAATGACCTTGGAAGTACTTTTGGGTAACATTTTATGTTTTTATGATAATACTTATAACCTACCTTTGCTGTAGCAGAAATAACATCTTTCGTAAGTACAGTTGCAGACATCTGTGATCCTTCCTCAGATGGAAATGCTTTTTGGAAAGTAGCACTGCCCAAGAGGTACATAATGTGAACCACACGTGTAATTGAAAATTTCTTTAAAAAAATTATCTATTTATTTATTTTTAGAGAGGCGAAGGGAGGGAGGAAGAGGGAGAGAAACATTGATGTATGAGAGATACATCGATTGGTTGCCTCTCACACACCTCCAACCGGGGACGTGGCCTGCAACCCAGGCATGTCTGACTGGTAATGGAACCAGTGACCTTTCTGTTTGCAGGCCAGCGCTCAGTCCACTGAGCCCCACCAGCCAGGATTAATTTAAATTTTTCTTGTAGCTACATTTTAAAAAGTAAATAAACACAGGACATTTCGCTTTCATGTTTTATTTTACCCAATATATAAAAATATTATTTCATTGTATAATATGAAAAAGTATTCATGATATATTTTTTCCTACTAAGTCTTTTAAATCCAGTGTGTATTTTATACTTACAGCATATCTCAGTTCATTCACTAAATTTTAGGTGGTTGAAGCTAAATGGAGACCTACCAAAACAATAAAGTAGTGGTTAATAGAAAAATATTTCACTTAAATATTTCATGTAAAATATTTCACTTAAAATAAAATTTTAATTTTATTTCATAAAATTAAAAGTAAATTTAAAATAGATTAAAATTAAATAACACTAAAAGTTAAGCTTCTTGGTGTACTAACCACATTATAAGTGCTCAGTACTTAGCTGTGGCTGGTGGCTACTGGTAGCAGCACAGGTGAAGAACATACTCATCATCACAGACAGCTTGATTGGACACTACTGGTCTGAATCCTCAAACTCTGAAATCTTCCATTGGAGGAGATTGGACGTATTTTAATATTAAGTCTTTCAGATAGCCTTGTGAGAGCCTAAGTCTCGTGAAACTGAACTTCACATTATTAAGGTTTGTGAGTGTTTAACTCTTAACATTTGTAGTTTCATACTATTCCTCTAACCTCATTAGGGGGCCACAGACTGACTAACATCCAGAAATGGTCGGCCTTGACAGTGATGAATTTCTCTTTGAAGTGCCCTGTGGATTAACAAAATAAATGCACTTCCTAGCTTGTTTTTGCTACCAAACAAGATCACTGTTTGTGACTTGACAAGATGCAACACAGCACTTAAGATCCCCATTTTGGTATTGCAGTCATAAAGACATTTGAGCGTAAATTATTAAGACAGAAAAGTTGAATGAAGAGTTGAAATGATAGCAGAGTTTTAAGGTTCATTTTGAACGGACTCACACTTTAGGAAAGTTTTCTTTCCTAAAGATGAAAAACCACATACACACACCCCAACACACGGGAAATATGAAGTAATACAGAGTAAGAAAAAAAGCCAATAAGCACCAGTAAATCCATATTACTCCACTCCTCACTGAAGGGCTGAGAGCCCCCGGGAGCTTCCCATAGCTGCTTGGGCACGCCAGCGCCCTTCCGTCCACTGTGAAGGAGGTGCGGAAGACACACGCGGTGGCTAGGTTTCAATTTTTAGAAAGCAGGCCTGACCTGGAAGAGGATGTTTAGATCTGCTACCAAGGAATAAGGATCTGTGCAGTGAAGTTTCTGACCCTGTCCGGGTCTGGCACTGCTCTCTGTGACCCTCAGGGTACATTCCTGTCGCCCTGTCCTGGCATAGCTCTGGGAGACCAACAGGAAAGAGGGCTGATTTTTGAGGAGCTTTCCCGGACTAAACGAGCTTTCCAAATCACGTGCCCTTCCTAGCCAGTGAACCCCAGAACTGTGGTCAGATCTCAAGAAAGCCCCTGGTTTCCCTCTGGGCCTGGGCATTCCTCCAGCCTGGTGCAATGCTGGAGCATAATTTCGACTTTGAGTCTGAGTCATGAAGATGTACCTAAGCAACAGATGGTGGAAGCTTATTACTTCCTGCATTTTGTGACTGAGTTTTAAACAGCCTTGAAGATCTTTATCTCCTCACCAAAGCTTCAGGGGTATGTTGAGTGCTGTGTAGGCATTTTAAAGAAACCTTAAGTTTTTCTCAGAGGACTTGATGGTGAAATTCTAATTCTTTCACAAAAGCTTCCCCTTTCATTTCTTTTTTTTTTTTAAAAATCTTAAGCTACTATTTATGTGCCAGAATCTCTAATTGCTATATGCACTTTTCTGCCCATTTTACAGGTAAGGACATGGAGACTTAAGGGTATAATCAAATTTCCAAAGTCATGCAGCCAGCTAAGTGACATAGCAGAAATTTGACGCCCGGGCTCTCAGATGCAGGACTCCATGCACGGCACTATGAAGTGGAAGGGTTTTCGTAGAGTTGGACCCAAGCGGTTGGTTGTACAAGGGCGAGCTGGTCTCATTCACAGGTTTCACTAGCGGCTAGTGAGACTGTTGTTTGTCCTTGCAGCCCCAGTTTCTGCTGCTCTGGTTCATAGTGTGAGAGAAGCCATAATGAAAGATTTCAGATGATCTGGGGCTTTAAGAGATATTGACCGTGCTTGTCTCCTCTTGCCACAGGTGGCTGTGTTACTGCAACGTGCCCCAGTTCTGTGACAGTCTACCTCGGTATGAGACCACCCAGGTGTTTGGGAGGACACTGCTTCGCTCCGTCTTCACCGTCATGAGACGGCAACTCCTGGAACAAGCGAGGCAGGAAAAAGACAAACTGCCACTTGAGAAACGAACTCTAATCCTCACCCATTTCCCAAAGTAAGGGAGTGGTCTAGTGAGTCTTTGTTTCATCTGGGAGCTTGAGATCGATAAATACGTGCCAAAGCCTGAATCAATAACAAGATCAGCAATGCTAGGAAAAGCATTCAGGGAAGAGGGACAAAGGGACCCCCTGCTCCTCAGCCCCCTCTGAGAGTCCTCCTGGGGACTGCACAGTCCATCTATTGTTAGCTCAAATATGTGTTAACTGCCGCCATAGCTCCCTCAGCCCCCGCCTCATCCCACCTGCGTGCCATTGTCTCTGAGCTTCATAGATTCGGGTGGTGCTTTGTTTTGAGCATTCAGCTGCCAGGAAGCTGGAGGGGGATGGGAGGGGGGCGGTGTGCAGAAGCAGTTTCCATCTACCCAGAAGTGGTGCGAGAGAACGCAAGTGGTTGGTTTTTTCCATCCTAGACCTCCAACCCTTTCTAAGACTAGTGCATCGCTCCTGCCTCAGCTGCAGTGGGCCTGCCCGCTCCCTCTTTGTAAACCAGACTCCCGGAGTGGAGCTGGACAGGAAGAGGGGCCTTCTTCACAGTGCTCTTTGTACCTCAGACGCTCGGTTGCTTGTCGCATGCACATACTCTCGTGCACCTTGCTCCTGGTGCGTGCCAGAGCTCCAATATAGAAATAATCATTTAAACACTTTTCAAATGGGAATAGGAAGTTGCAGTGTTGCACTCGTGGCTTTGGAGATGCATTTCCCAATCTGAGAACTGAATATCTAAGCTAAGAGGCTGGCTGCTGGTGACGGGGAGTGAGTGTGCATGGATGACTTGTCAGGGAGCGGTGACAGCAAAACATGAATGAGACGGTTCATTTTGTGTGTGTCATGCTGCCCAGAGCAGGGCTGGGTAGCGGAGGTAGAAGTGAAAATCTAAAAAGGCTTTCTCAGCTTGCTGGTGTAAAGGAAAAATAGAACTTAAGAGAGAAGGTATTATATTCTTTGACCAAAAACGGAGGGGACCCTGCTTTACCTGTAAAACTAGGTTTTTATTATTAAGTTACTATGACTGGAGTACCTAGTTTGTATCATAAGAACGACAATTTTAAGTTTTTTTAAAAATAAGGTAGGTCCCCACCCTGATCTGTGCAGCTCAGTGGGTTGGGCATCTTCCCACAAAGCAGAAGGTCAACGGTTCGATTCTCAGTCAGGAGACAGGCCTGGGATGCAGGTTCAGTTCCTGGTCAGGGCATGTACGAGAAGCAACTGACTGATGTTGCTCTTGCTCTCATATCGATGTCTCTCTCCCTTTCTTTCTCCCTCCCTTTCCCTCTCTTTAAAAAAAAAATAAGTTAGGTCCAAAACAACCACAAAACAACCACAATCTTTCTACCTGAAAGATTTGCAGGTAGCAATGGAGTGAAAACTCCTCTTGCTCAATACAAACCATAAGCCTTAGGTGAAGATAAAGGGTCCGTCTCATGAGATTTCAGGGAACAGCCAGTATTCACACATAAGTCCTAGCATCCTGACTTTCAGTATTTTCCTGAGAAAACCGGCAACCGAGATAGGACGTGAACAATTTGTCTCCCTCCAGGGGGGAAGGTTCAGAAGCACTTAAATGGCTGTTTGAATGTTACCCCTAAATGCGTTATAACTCCGGGCATGCTGGTCTGTTTCAGTGGCTGCCTTTTAACTAGTCTAAGCTCCTCTCTTTAGAGATTAAAGCAATTTTCTTGCTACTGTCTCTATTGCATTTGCCACATAAGCAGCAGTTTATGTTTTCAGATTATTGTCATCATTTGGTCTCTAAGCCAAGGGACAAAGAGGAAAAGAGGACCCCCCCATTTTTGATGGTGCTTAAAGAAAAATTTTAATTTCGTTGCATAGTGACAGTTTTTTTTCCCCATAGCAAATGTATTTCGCTTCTTGCTGATATTTGCTAATTATAGGGCGGTTTGTTCCTTCAACCCGTAGTCCTGGCGTGCTTGTGCTGTTGAGCTAATCAGTGCTGCTTTTTCTTCTCTTTTACTAATGGTAGGGTAAAATTACCACCCACTTCTCTTTTTAAATCTCTTTTCATGGACTAGGACAACATTGGAGGTTATTAGGGATTTGCACCAACAGGTTTGGCAGCAGAATCACACATGTGTTGAGGCCTGAGGTTGAGTCTTGCACACAGTCGTCAAGCGGGACCTGCGCATACCCTGCCCCCCAGACCCCCAGGGAGGTCACTTGTTCTCAGAGGCGGATTCAGGGCCTTCCTCCTTACCTGCCTCCTCTTCATGCCTTGCCTACATGGCTTTAACTTGTGTCTTTCCCCATCTACCTGCTTACTAGGTTATTATTAAAAGGAGTTTAGTATCTATATTTCATTCTAAAAGTGATACATGTGCATGTTGGTGGAACTCTGGTTAAGAAGCAGCAGAACATCAGCCACAGCCTTACATTTAGTGCTTTCGGATATTTCTATATCTTCTACATGTATTTTTGTTCTTTTACTCTTCATGCAATTTTGTATCCTGTGCTTATAAAATAAGCACACTCTCATGTATTATATGAAACTGTTCTTTACTGTTATGAAATAACTACATATGTATATGCATATATAACACACACAGGATTATTTTCCTAAATTGCTAAAGGCATTTTTCTTTGGCAGGTCCATGCCCCTCTTTGTGAAGAGTGTTCTGATCGTATAATTACTAACAAAGAAGGAGTCTAGAAAAGGAGAGGGAATTCACTTCTGTGATGAAAGGCAGCTGGGCAAATCTTGAGGGCTGTGTAAGGGAAAGGCAGTTCTGCTTAGGAAAAGGGGGCAGTGAATCAAGAACCTCTCATGTGCAAGATCAGCATGTGTGTGATCTTAGGAAGGATTTTAGCTCTTATTGCTGTCTGTCATTCTGTGTTTGGTAGGACACATGCTAATGTGCTTTAAAACATGCCTTAATGGTGGCTTGCTTAGCAAGAAGGAGCAACTCCTGTGGTATCTATAAAGCATGAATTACTCTATTGAGTGAGGTTAGGTATTCACTCAAATGGATCTTGTTTTTAAATCTTCTGTGAGCAGCAAGTCAGAACTCCCAGAACTTTTTCCCATCAGTTTTTACTTCCAAGAAACCATCTCCTCTCTCCCCTGAAACCATCTAAAATCTCACAGACATTGACAAATGAGAAGAATAGTAGTATTTTTACTAATAGTGCTGCTGCTGCTGCTAATGGTGATAACAAGTCTTCGATCAGTTATTCAGAACCTTGGTACTAGATATGTTTTACAATACAAGTATTTAAACATTTTCTAAAGGTAGTCAATATAATGCATGTGCCATATATTAGCTTCAAGGGTGGGGTTAATTCTCCTAAATTAAATCCATTTATAATTATAAAGACTACAAATAGGCTTATGTATGTTAAAGTCAGTTTTTGTTGCCAAATGGGTTATGGGAAATCTTTTTTTAAGGGCTTTTGGATTCTGTGATTTCAGAGAAGGGATATAGATGGCTTATAATAGCTAACCTTTATTATATCATTACCTGTAAACTCCATGAGGACAACTGGTTGTTTTGTCCCTGTCCTTCTAGCACCTAACTCAGTGTCTGGCCCATGGTAGGTGTGCAATCGATACATTTGTTGAATGAATGAATGAATGAATGAATGAAGCACATGCTAGGGCTCAGGCACCATTTTAGGCATGCGCATTAGCTCATCCCTCCCGACCACGCTATGTAGGAATTACTGTTGATATTTCCTTTTTATAAAAGAGATTGGGGAAGAGGAAAGTTAATAACTTGTTTCAAGATCATACAAATAAGTGGTGGTGAGCTTTGTAAATGAATTCTAGCGCCCAAGCTCTTAGCCAGTGTTCTTTGTTCTTCCCCTAGAATTAATGTGTCTTAAAAGTGGCTTGCCGGAAAATATTCCAGTACCAGAGGTGTAGATTTGTGTTGGTATTTTAGCCATAGTTCTTCAGTTTTGGTGTACATGAGTTGTCCAAGGCATGTGCCAAAATTTAGTCCTCAAAGCCTCTTCTCACAGACTTGGATTCAGTATGCCTGGGTAACTGTATTTCAAACAAGGTCTCCAGGTAATTTCTATGGGCCTCTAGAACTTGAGATCCATTGGGTTTACAACGCAACATGGCAGTGTAACTTAGTAATTAACCACTAGTTCAATCTTGGTCCTGAATTACTAACTGTGGGACTTGGTCCCAGTTATTTAACCTCTCTCTGCCATAAGTTTTTTCATCCATAAGGTTATGAAGATCAAATAGGTTAGAGTAAGAGCTGTGTGTGTGTGTGGATGGGGGTAAAGAAAAATAAAATGTATAACTCACTGGGTGGACGTGAGGATTCAGTGAGTCATGAGAACAGTGCAGGCTCGTAGCAAGCACTCGGTGAAGGGTAGCAGCCTCTGTTATGGAAATCACAGCTGCCTGAAGGACTGGAGTCTGCATTTCCACTGGTGTAATGCTCTGTGTAGTCTGTTGTCAGTCTATGCAGAGTCAAAACAAAAGAAAACAAATTTGTAGAATTGCATTTTTGTAAATGTTCCAGGGCTACTCGACTAAGTCATTTAAGTCATAATTGACTAGTGTGTCTCCGAGTTGAATGTGAGATGCTGATGTTCAGGCGATTGTCACAGATGTTGAGGGCTTCCATTTCTCTGGCAGTGCATTAGTTTTGGCTCTTACTATTGCTTTTGCTCTTGTGTCCAGGTTTCTGTCCATGTTAGAAGAAGAAGTTTATAGCCAAAACTCGCCCATCTGGGATCAGGACTTCCTATCAGCCTCTTCCAGAACCAGCCAGCTAGGAATCCAAACAGGTAAATTTCTTTTCGCGTCAATCAGAACAACCAGGAAGTGTTGCTTGCAGTTCACTCTGCATTTATTTGTGTTTTTCATCAAGAAATTGAAGACTGGAGCCAGCAAATTTTGCATCTGCACCTCTGTTACTGAGAAGAGCAGGTGCAAATCAGTTAGAACAATTACTGCTCCTACTCTTGGGTTTGCTTGGCTTGCACATCACAATTTTGTAGGAGGTGTAAAATACCAGGCAGTTCAGCTCTGTAGTCCATTCCTGGCTGTTTTTAAAGGCACTTAACAGTCTTGGTCAATGGCCTGATATGCCCAGGAATCAAGGTTCAGTCTGGTTTCTGCATGCATGATGTCTGTTTTGTGTATCAAATTACCATCATGTATAATGATAGGACGGTGAGTGGAAGACAGCAATCTTGAGTCTCAGGACACGATGAACTTCTCAGTAGGGCCAGGACATCCTTGCCGTTGTTTTGAGTCAGCCAGTGGCATCACCGAGCAATTTTGTGGGGATGGGAGACATGTGATTCGTGGAGTCACACTGATTCCACTGAGAGGATCTGGATTTTTACCTTTGATACTAGGAGAATTGAGAGGTGCCAAAACAGTCATTCATATGTTTCTATGTGGCCATTGGGAGAAACAGAATGCAGAAAAAACTTTAAAGATTTTATTTAGTTTTTTTAGAGGGGAAGGGAGGGAGAAAGAGGGAGAGAAACATCGATATGCAAGAGAAGCACTGATTGGCTGCTGCTTTTGTGCCCCTAACCGGGGACCTGGCCTGCAACCCAGGTATGTGCCCCGACCAGGAATCAAACTGGCTACCTTTCGGTTTGCAGGCACTCAGTCAACTGATCCTCACCAGCAAGGGTAGAATGCAGAATTTTGATCTTAGAGCTTTTAGTATCTCTAGGTCAATGGGTAATAGGGGGGGCTTGTGGGCATCAGTGCCAGGAAAGATAATTTCATTCTTGCTTTTTTTTTCCAAAAAGAATTTTACATGAAATAAAAGTGGCCCTTTTTAGTATATGGTTCTGTGAATTTTTGACAAACACACATTACTGTGTAACCACCACTGCCATCGAAATATAGAACAGTTGCATCGCCCTGAGAAATTCTGTCGCACCCTATATGGTTCTTTCATTGCCATACCCCCAGCCCTGGTGACCCCAATTGGTTTTATTTTCCCCGTAGTTATTATTATTTTTTGCCTTTTCTAAAAGGTACATAGCTTTCTTAGTATGGCTCCTTTTACTCAGCATCATGCATTTGAGAAGGCGTTTAAAGATTTTTTTATTTCACGTAGAGCCCAAGTTTGGGTGTAAATATAATTAAACTCCTACAATGCAGAACACGTAAGGAATGAGGTATTTTGTTTTGGGTCAAACCATTTTAGTTTGCATTCTTGGTACTAAAAGCATGTTTGTGTTTTTTGTTTATTTCGCCTTGGGTCATAGAAGATCATTACCTGTTTCTCTGGCCCAGACCTGTCCAGCTCTGGCGTCTGTCTGTGCATCCTGCGTGCTTCCCCCAAACCGGAGTTCAGTGGACGTGTTTTCTGTGGTGGCTGGGCACATGCCTTTGTGTCCCTGTGCTGTTCACTTTGTCTTTGTCCTGATTCTGCTAGCTTTCAAATGGCATCTCTCCCACACACGCCTCCCTAATTCTTCCTGTGCCCTCCAGCCAACACTGGACCCTCTTCCTCACTTCCACAGAACCTTGACTGTATCCTCCCCTTGGTTCTCAAACTTGGCTGCACAGTAGCATCACCCATGGTGATTTAAAGTAACATTAATTTCTGAGTTCCTTCCCAAGAATGTGCAATGTAATGTGCCTAGGGTGAGGCCAGGATGTTTTAAAAGCTCCCGGGCGACTCTGATGTGTAGCAGTATTTGAGACCTGCTGGCTCATACAACACTTCCCTCATGTCGTCCTGGGCCCATTTTTTAATGGGCACCTTCTCTCTCCTATGAGTGTGACTCCTAACTGGTCAGAGACCCAATTTTGTCACAGTAATAATAATGAATGATACTTCCCTTAAGTGCTTGCCTATGAAGTGTGCTTCATGTCTTTAAGCTTTAACACAAAGCCTGGGAAGTTGCTATTTCAATCTCCCTAACTTCTAGGTGGGAGTTGCCCAAGACCAGGTCTTATTAAGTGATGGAACTGGGTTTTACACCTGGGTCTGTCTAATTCTTAAACACTGTACACTGAATGACAAGCCAGAGCTATAGCTGCTGCATTGCACTGCTTTGCTGTGCATTGCAAATGTGGAGGGAATGAGTGAAGGACATAGTTTCCTCCTTCAAGCAGGGGGACACTGAAGCTATTCAGCACTTAGGTCTTCCCTGGGGGGTCTTCTGGAGAGACCCTCCCTGTTCAGAAGTCCCCCTAACCCTTGCCTGCCCAAAGTGCTTCCCAGTTTGTTCTGATTCCACAAATTACCTGTCATGCACAAGATGGAGAAGGCCGAGGTTGTCACTGTCCCTCTGGGAATTGCATGTTTATTTCTGTAGCTAAGGTTGTAACCCAGTTCAGCTGGATGGTACTCTTCAGCATTACCTGGAGCCATCGGAAACAGGCTGTCTTTTCCTGTTCTACTTTAATTGCAGTGTGTTCTCTTTGGGGAAAGAAGAGTGCAATCATCGACCTAATTGGCATGTCTGCACATCTGTGTAACTGTGATAAATGACATTCATAATGATGGCTCTGCAGTTGTGCAAGATACTCAGATGTCTTCAGAGTCACCAGCGCTACCTCTTTGTGTACACTCACTCCAGTATGCTTTGAGATTCAGGAGGCCTGCATGCGAGAAGGAAAACCATATAGCCTGGCACTTGAGTATATTCTGAGTCTTTCACACAGACGACTGTTGCTCAGTTAGGAGTGCTGCAGACTGGTATCTCTGAGGCTTGAGTTACTTATTCCATCACTTTCTTGGCTGCTGGGAGTGTCCTCTGCACACTGAACGTGGCTGCATTGAAACTTAGGTGAACATTCTCTCTGGACATCTGCCTGCCTTGCTCTACTCTGTTGTATATGTGACCAGTGTGACTGAAAGGGTCTGTATCCCTTATCCACTCTCACCTCATCAGCTACAGATCAGCCCGCACCCTAGCAAAGCAACATCCTATTTCTTACAATAGCTTTAGAAAAATGTTTTGTTCGGAAATGCTCTCAAACTTACTGAAAAGTTAAAAAACAGAACAAAGAAATTTTGTGTACTGTGTATACTTTCCCCGGATTGACCGATGGTTAACATGTTGCCATGCTTGCTTTCTCCCCCCTTCCGTTCTCTCTCTGTTTCTGTTCTATCTCTGTCCCTCTCTCTGTTTTTTCCTAAACTACTTGAAAGTTGCAAACATCATGCCCCTTGGCTGACTTCAGTGGGTATCTCCTAAGAACAAGGCCATTCTCTTACTTAACAGTATAGTTATCAAAGTGAGGAATTTTCATCTCGGTGCAAGGTCAAACCTTATTACTTAATCTATAAGCTCTTTTGTCTTTTTGCCTCTTAATCTCAGTCGTGTGGTTTATAGCATCCTTTGTACCACATCAGGGGCACGTAATGATGGCCTGTCCTGTTTTGTTGGTGTGAAGTTGGATCGCTTGGTCAAGGTGGTATTTTACGAGGTTTCTCCACTGCAATGGTGTCACTTTCCCTTTTGTAATAAAAAAGTACTTTTGTGGGGTGATACTCGGAAACTCTCTGTCTTCATCAGCATTATACTCACAAGGTTTAGCCTACACAGATGATTCTCCTGAACCGATTATTATATGCTGGCTGCCAGTTGTTTTCCTAACTTCCATCATTCCTTCCTTATTTATTTGTTGGCATTCTTCTGTAAGAAAGAGCTTTACCTTCTCCCCACTTATTTATTTTTCTTTTCATTTGTGATTTAATCGGTGTGGACTGAGGTATTTTTATTCTGTTCAGTGGGCTGTAATCCATTGCTGTCTTTATTATCATGCTCACATTGACCCCATTGCTTTTATTTTAAAGGCGACTTCTTTGAGGTATTGGGCGGGAATGGGACAGTCTCACGTACACTTGGTTCCTCATTGCCTAAGAAAAGAGTCATCTAATACCTTATTTTCCTTTCCTTGGGACAGTCATCAATCCACCTCCTGTGGCTGGGACGATTTCGTACAATTCAAACTCATCTTCCCTTGAGCAGCCGAATGGAGGGAGCGCCAGTCCTTCTGGCAAAGGCTCTTCTGGGCTTGAGGCAAACCCAGGTAATCACTTAGGGGACACGACAAAGGGCTGTGAATTGCCTTAGAGGTTCTCTTGTGATCTGAGAAGTACCAGAAGTAGACTTAGACCAACTACAGGTTGTTCATGTCCAGGATTTTAGTGGCTAGAACTGACTTTGAGCTGTATTGGGTAGTTCCTACTGTGTAACATACCAGCCAAAATGCAGAGCCTTAAAACCAAACCATAATCTTTTATTATCACAGCTCGCTCATTCTGTGTGTTACCTGGTCGGTGGCTGCTCTCAGCTGCCGCATTATTAAGTCTTGGCCAGGCTTCCCGAGTCCTACCTGTGGACTGGGGCTCTGTGCCGGGCTCGGCAAGAATACTCAAGCTGGAGCATCTCTGTTCCACATATTTCTCACCCTCCTGGGATCATTGGGCTTTTTTTTTCCCTTCTTTTTTAGGACAGAATATGTCCTTATAATAATGTCAGAAGCACCAGAGAGGAGGCAGAAATAGTTTCTTGAAGCCTAGGCTTAGAACTGGGGTACTATCACTCCTGCCTCATTTTGCCATGCAAAACAAATCACATGGCAGAACTCAGACCGAAGGGCTGGAGAGATAGGCTGTATTCCTTTTGCAGGAAGAACGGTGAAGTCACAGGGCGGAGTGTGGATACCAGGAGGGTACAGACTTTGGCCATTTATGTAATCTGCCACCTGGGCAAAAACATCCCTTAATCCTCAAGTTTTGATTTCACAGATATAGAATGTTTTGAAGGTTGCATTTCTGTCCTAAAGGATACGACCAAATAAATCTTGGGTACAACCAAAGTTTGACTTTAAAGAAGGGGCACAAAAGAGGGAGAGAGGAGGATTTCCCAGGAAGCACCAGGTTTTTAGCGTGTGTGCCATATTTTCTCTCTCCCGCTTTGAAGGCAGATGCCCCTCGATCCAGAAAGTCCGCCAGTGAGCTCGGGCCTCGCCTCAGATTCTTTCTTATCATAACACTATTGGCAGTCAGTCCGTCAAGCTGGGGGGCTGATGAGGCATACACCTCAGCTTGCAGAATAAATAGTTCACTGTGTTACTTTCGGGGCGTCATGGAATTTGAGGGCTTGTTGGTCACTTCCCATACAGCAACGAAGAGAGTTACAAAAACAGAGATTCAACAAAGTTCGATTAATAATTAACATAATGTTTCAGGAAGCATCTTGCATGGGCAGGGTACTCTACATTGCCCTTCTTTTGAACGAAAGTTAGTGAGACCACTGCATGGAAGCATCTTTAGGGGGACTCATTCCCAAAGAATAAACTAGATGGGAATATCTAAAGGGTCTTACAAAATTAACTGTAAAAATAAATACATGGTATACAGAAAAAATTAAGCAAAATCATGCCTGATGGTAGAAGAAAACCAAAAAGCCACCGGCAGTCTAATGAGGAAATTGGGAGAAAGTCCTCCTGGTATTTGTCTGGCTTTCACCAGCATGCGACACGTCAAGAATGGCCCTGCTTTGTGAGGCATCGTTTTAAGGCAGAAAAGCATTTTGAGAGATAATGAATGGAAAAAAAATTGCACCAGTATATTTCAAATGTATATAGACGTATGTACATAAATACATACCCACACATATATAAATATATATACATATGTATGTAAAGGAGAGAATGAACAGAATTACAAGGAAAAATAAATCAAGCAACAGTTGAACATGAAGAGACATCTCTGGGTAATTCATAGATCGAGCAGACAAAACTATCAGTAATCACATAGAAGTTCTGAAAACATCAGCAAACTCAAATGGTAGTATGGATATTGTTACTCCTAAAAATCAGAAAATATGCATTTATTCCAAGAAGACACTACACATTTATTTATAAATAATTATCCGTGTTTTAGGCCATAAAGCAAGTTTCAAGAAATTTTGACATTTTGGTATTACATGGACTACTTTCTCTAACCACAAACAGAGTTACAGATTAATAATGAATGATAACTAGAATAACTCCTTGCATTTACAAATGGACAAATTATGCTTTAATATCTCATATATTAAGTTAAAAATTATCATAGAAAATGGAAAATGTTCAGAATGCATCTGTAGTTGGCAGTCATTGGGACCTCTTCCCTCCTTATTTTCACTGTCCATTGCCACCTCTTTCCTGGGTAAATGGAGATTTGATTTTTATACCCATTAGTGTTATTGGAAAATTGGTTGGATGAGTCAACATATGTTATCTGTTTCATGTTTAAAATAACCCATTGTTTGCCCTTTTATTTTGATCCTCATAGGAGAAAAGAGGAAAATGAATGACTGTCATGTTTTGGAGGAAGCCAAGAAACCCCGAGTTATGGGGGATATTCCAATGGAATTAATCAACGAGGTCATGTCTACCATCACGGACCCTGCAGTGATGGTTGGACCAGAGGTCAGCAGGGTAAACCTGGGCAGCCAGCTGGTAGACCCCTTCTGCTCTCCTAGCCAATGTAGTTGTCCGAAATGGGAGTGGTATCACTGAGAGCATGTCATGCTACCCTAGTTTGCATTTAACCTAGTCGTCAGGGCAGAGAGGGCAGGAAAAGCTGGTTGGAGAGGTGATTTCTTTTGATGCATATCATATCACAGGGAAACTGACTAATAATCTCACACTGTTGAAGCCATTTCTCTTCCTTCAACTCTTTTTCTTTTTAAATCCTTACCCGAAGATATGGTAATTGATGAGAGAGAGAGAGAGAGAGAGAGAGAGAGAGAGAGAGAAAGAGAGAAACAGAAATGTTTGTATGAGAGAAAAACATTGATCAGTTGCCTTTTATCCGCACCCTGACTGGGGATTGAACCTGCAACTTTTTGGTGTACAGGGTGACGTTCCAACTAACTGAGCCACCTGGCCGGGACCTCCCTCAACTTTTTATCTTGAAAAGTTTAAACCACCATACATGTTGCAAAAATTCCATGATAAAGACTTATTAACATTACAGTATGTTTGATTTGTCTCTGTGTCTCTCCCTCCCTTCTTTGAGCCTTTTAGAACCATTTCAGAATTAAATCCAGATGTCATAATGTTTTATCCCTAACTATTTTTTCTGCGTCTTTTAAGACTAGACTATAATTTTACATTAACAAAATGTAGTTATCACTATCAGAAAATTTAGTTAGGTTACAGTATTGTCTAACATGTGGGTTGGCAAACTATAGCCCTGCAGGCCAAATCTGACCCACTAGCTATTGTCAGTAAAGTTTTATTGAAACATATTGTCCATGTCTGCCTTGTATTACAAGAGTAGACTTGCATACTTGAGACAGGGGCCATGTGGCTTGCAAAGTCTGAAATATTTGTTATCTGACCCTTTATAGAAAAGTTTGCTGACACCTCCCCTAATGTACAGCCTATATCCAAATTCCTCATGCATCTAAATTATGTCCTTGATAACATTTGTTGCATTTAGTTCTAATCTCTTCAGTTTCTAATCGAGAATAATTCCCAGCCCTCTTTTTGGTTGTTATGGTGGTGCCTTGTTGAAGATTCCCGGTCACTAGTTCTGTATAACATCCCTCCATTTGGATTTTGTCTGTTTGCTGAAGGTTGGATTCAAATAAAACATTTTGGGCACAAGTGCTGCCATCTCCTCCTGCGTCCCCGTCAGGGGCAGGGCTCTTTAAGGTATTTGTGACAGCTTCCAGGAAATCAAGAAATGGCTTGGAGATTATTTTGCAAAACATCTTTTTAAACATTTTTTTTAAAGCTTGGCTCTGCTAGATTAAAGCATCTATTTTTTATTTGTCATGTTTCCTTAGATATTTATTTTATGGTATTAGGATAATTTAGAGAACTGGAATGTTGTAAGAGAAAGATCTCATTATAAAATTGTCCGTCCCTTTTCCTTCTAGTCACCCAAACCTGGGGACGAAGGCTGTATATAGTACCTTGTGTGTATACCTGTCTTTCAGGGATTTAGGAATTTCACAGATTAGCTGAGCTCAGGTCTTTCAGCTGTAAAATGTAGATGCAGTCACAACTTTCAAAATTTGTTGCGTGGAGGTAGTAGTTGTACCGGAGTTGGCTCCTACTGGCATGCAGAGCTGGTTGTGAAATTTTCAGGAATTTTGTGAGCTGGTTGTTAAATATGTTGGCAGTTTGAAATGACTGCAGTGGTACCTGGTCGCCTGTAGACCAGTGAAAGGAGCAAGTACTCCCAAGCAGGGTTTCTTCCCTGGGGATCTGTTTGTTGAACACGTAACCCACTTACCACCAGGTGGGTTAAACACTCTGGGGAGTATAAAGTGCTGGCTCAGGTTGGGCTGCCTGCTAGGACTGAGAATGGGTCAACAGATTCTCTGGAAAAAAAAAAAAAAACTGTCCTCCAGAAAAGAGGTACCGACTATGTAAATATGACAGCCACCACTGGCCCTGTTGTGAGAGTTTGGGGTCTGTCATCTGGAGGGTCCTAAAGAGCTCAGTCAGAGGGGATTCCTCCAAACCAGGGCTTCACAAACTACAGCCCACAGGCCAAGTCCAGTCTGCCCCCCTCCTTTTAAATAAAGTTTTATTGGAACACTATTACACCCTTTCACTTACGTATTGTCTGTGGCTGCTTCCACGCCACAGCAGAGTTGACTAGTTGCCACAGAGACCTGACCCTTCACAGAAAAGTTTGATGACTCCTAATCTGTACCAAATGTCCATGTATGTGTATAAAATACTCTGATCTCTCAAAATGCTTTACCTACTTTTTCTATTTTGTTTTCATAATGCACGTGTTGTTTGGGACCCTGAAAATCCATAGCTTTATTAGAACACAGAAGAGCACCACTGTCGATCCGTCTTGTCCCCACTGTCTTAAGATCTCTGTAATTTTTTCCTGTCTCCTGTATCCCAGAACAATTTTTTGTCAGCACATTCGGCCAGGGACGAGGCAGCCAGGCTGGAAGAGCGCAGGGGTGTGATTGAATTTCACGTGGTCGGCAATTCCCTGAACCAGAAACCCAACAAGAAGATCCTGATGTGGCTCGTTGGTCTGCAGAATGTGTTCTCCCATCAGCTGCCCCGAATGCCCAAAGAGTACATCACACGGCTTGTCTTTGACCCGTAAGTGGTGCTTTGCCCTCCCTTCTTTTTATTTTTCCTTTTTAAATGAAAGAGGAACTGCTCAGAAAGTGAAAGTCAGCCACAGTCACCCACCGAATCCCTCTGTCTCTTGTCACACTGTGGACACAAAGCTACATGAAAAGAATTGCCGTGTCTAAAGCATTAAGATTAATTTTTCAACAGTTCATACAATTTTTTATTACTGATAAGGAAGCTTTGTGTTTTAAGGTGCTGGCGACTATCCTGGGCTTCATTCATTGTAGCAATGAAAGGATGTAAACACTAAGAAGATGCCCCGCTTTTTGAGTAGTCAGAGCATTCTTGATTTTGGTGTCTTAACTAGGTATCATGGTTGCCTGGGTCCGCAGGCACCGGGAAGATTGTTGGGAGACCAGACGTTAACTTTGAAAATCCACTGCTTAAAAAAAGAGCCCTAGAGAACAGTCATTACATTGCTCGGACGAGAGCTAAAACTATAAAGTGTCGTACATGCATTGTAATTTTAAATTAACTTTACATTCTAAGAAGCTGTCATACAAAGTTAAACTTTGTAAGTTTTTCATGTATAATATTTATACAAATGAACCCTTTTGAATGTAAAGATGTTTTCCTATATTTAAAAAACCTAAAACAACAAAACGAAACTTTCCTGATTGGCTGTATTTTAACATGTATAGCACGATAGCCTGTGTGGATTGTGATTCATGTGTGTGACCGTTCCGAGTGGCATTTTGACGGAGAGGAGGTCGGACAGGATCCTGTAGTGCAGGTTCTGACGGGCTGTGTGTGTGGGTTTTGTATTCTTCCCCATAACGTTTCTGTGCTATTTCTGAGTTAGAGCCATCTTCAGAAACACATGCCACTTCCGTCCATGACAGTGTGCTGTCCCGCTGACTCCCCAGCATGGGGCCCTTGGCCCTGGGTGTGCCCCGATTCCAGTGCTCCGGAACACATACTCTGTTCTTTATTTGTAACCCTCAGACCGTTTTTAGATGGCTGGCATTTTGTGCAGGCAGAATCCCTGTTGAAGACTCGTGTGAGCAGGCTTGCTCTGAAAAGTCCACGTGAAAGAATGGTCTGGGGAGATAACGGCCAGATAAAGGAGGTTTCCATAGAAACTCAGGAAACACACTGCCCCCCTCTTTCCTGGTTGGTTAAGAAGGAACACACCCCCAGAAGTATATTTATATAACCAAGATAGGTAAAACTTTGATACAATCTTATTGTTTCAGGAAACACAAAACCCTGGCTTTAATTAAAGATGGTCGTGTCATTGGTGGTATCTGTTTCCGCATGTTTCCATCTCAAGGATTCACGGAGATTGTTTTCTGTGCTGTGACCTCCAATGAGCAAGTCAAGGTAAGAGCAACCCAAGGACTTAAGGAGAAAGAATGTGGTATTTCTCACGAATGCTACAGAGCTTGGGAAGGTCTCTGTGGGCCTCGTCCAGAGCAGGTCTGAAGTACAGTGCAGGGCTTTCTGAGAAGGGTCCTCTCACTGTGAGCGTCTGTATCTGAGAAGCATGAATGTTCCACATGTCCACAGGTGCAGTTCTACCGAGGCTTTGTTGGACCCTGGGACAGGGTGCAGGGACACTGTGCAGCCCCAGTGCTACTCAAGTATAGTCTATGGCAAGTGAAGGATGTTTGAAAATAAATGGTCACTGTTAACTTACACACACACACACACACACACACACACAGCTGGTGGCAGTGAACCCCCAGGAAGGGTATGGTGTGATGTGGATTAGGAAGATGATTTAGGCACCTTATACTTCCGAAAAAATTTCTTATTCCTTGGTCCCTAATTGGGGTGGGTGGGCAGGAACTAAAGAAATTCTATAATAAGGGAAGCTGTGAGAAATTTCAGTTTATGCCTGTATTTCAGAAGCATTCATGCTGGGTTTGGAATGTAATGTTTTTAGAGGGTGGGGTGTGTGTGTGTGTGTGTGTGTGTGTGTGTGTGTGTGTGTGTGAATAATTTACTTTCCCAATTATCCTTGGCATAGGTCCTTCCCTCCCCAGTAACTATGGCTGTTTTATTGGTGTCGCGGTCGGGACTCCTGTCTGCCTGGAATGAACTAGGCTCTCGAATGACAGGAAGAGCTCTGATCTAGAGGAGGCTATGTTCTACTCGGCCGCCCTTAGGAAAATGGAAGGAGGAAATGTGTCTTTAGAATATTACTCATTTGGTAGTTGTGGAACCCTAAAGAATATCATGTGAAATAATGTGGGTGGCGGGTGGTGGAAGGGCTGTTGAGAAAAATCGTGGGAAGGTCTGGGGCGGTGTTGGCCAGTGAAAAACAAAGTGCCACACAGATGTGAGCCATGCACGTGATTCTGCATATTCTAGTAGCCACATGAAAAGTAAAGCAAAATTTGCCTTGTAAATATACTTTATTTTATCCAGCATATTCAAAGTCTTGCCACTGCAAAGGTACGCAGTGTTATGAAGATTTACTAATGAGACATTCCACATTCTTTGTTTCGTACCAAGTCTCTGAAATAAAATGAATTTTACACCTACCGTTGGGCTCAACTTGGACTAGCCCCATTTCCAGTGCCTACTGTGTGCACATACGGCCCGCAGTTTCTGTATTGGACAGTGCAGGTTCAAAGCCATTGTTGCCTCATGCAGTGCCATTTACAGAAAACAAAAATAAGTCGCTGGAAGGAACTGTTCTCCGAGTGAGGACTGCAACTAGTTAGTGCTGTGGGTACTTTTGCTTTCGTAACAGCTTGACTCTGGTTGTGGGGCCAGTTGTAGCCACTGAGATGATTTATCTCACAAAGCACAAATGGGGCTTTTTGCTGTTGACTCATAGTACTGAGCATGAAAGGGGAGAATTCATTAATCTTATATTCGTATTTCTGACTGGAAAGGTGAGGTCCCCCAGATTTGCTTGAAACAGACCTCTGGTTCTTTTTCAAGGGATTCTGACAGTGTGTCTTTAGATGGGGCTGTTGTTGTGTTGATCACTTTCTTTGTTTCCCTCTCGCCAAAGGGGGAAACAATTCCAAATGCCCAGAGTTTTAGAACTTATTTCAAAGGAAAATTTTGCTTGGCTTTTCATAGGGAGAGGAGCTGGAAAATATGTCCTTGGTTTATAATTTCAGAAAAAAGATGGCATAATTTTCATTTTCAAAGAAAGCTACACCAAGCACCTTGTTTGGAAAGGTTGATTAAGGTTGACTTGGACACTTTCAGGGTTACCAGAGAGAAACTATAAAGGTATTTAATATGAATTGGACACTTTGTCTTATTACTCTCCAGAAGGGTACTTTATTTTTTTTTCCCAAACCATGTAATTTTCTAAAGACTGAAAGGAACGTGGCCAAACATCACAAACCCAGTAGGAAGAACTAGAAAAAAAGTCACTTTTTCTAAGTGACTTATAACAGTAGTTTTAGAAAATAAAAATTATTCTTTCAAAACTGAGTGGAATGGATGAGTTTGTTGGAAGCCAGTGCTTGGTAACTCCTGTTTGTGAAAACAGTGTTAATAAGTAGTTTTAAATTTTTACTTAATATATTAAAAGTCTTGGCTACATTTGGACTTCGTATGCACTCATTCTGGAGTATCGCACTCACCGCCAAATTTCTGTGAATGCTTTAAGCAGGATTTGTTTGTGAATTTAACACAAGGTAATATTCAAGAATTTGCTTTGAGTTCCTCATCTGGTTTGAGAATGTCTTGTCAACTAAGAACTATTTGGATTTGGTGTTCTATGACTGTGCCTCTTTGGAGTTGTATACCTAATACTTACCTACCGTAAAGAATACTTAAATAAACACTGAAGTTGCCAGACAGATTTGGGAAGGGATCCTTTTGGTGGCAGAAATAAAGACATACAAACAAGCATAATTGTGGGGTAAAAATCTAAACATTGGCTTGTAATCGCATCTTGTTGTCAGTGCCTCTTTGACCAAAGAAATATTTAAGCTGCCACTCTTGCCAGTCACAGTGCTAGACTCAGTGCAGATTCAAGTGAGAGGACACAGCCCTGCTCACAGGCAACTTGGCGGATGGGAAGAACTTTTGGAGAGGTGACAGATTAGTGGCCACTGATGAAAAATATCTCATGTAGGTTTTGGGTGGCTGTTTAGAAAAGAATCATATTGTTGTTCTTGAGTGAACTCCCTGGAGAAGGGGAGGAAATTTATGATGCTTACGAGATAGAGGCGTATGAGGCAAAGGCCTCACTCTCTCCCACCAGCTAAACCTGTGTTACAGTAAATCCCATCAGAAAACACATTTCCCACTCATCGCTGGGATATGACTCAGCTCCCTCCATGTAGCCAACCCTTCTTTTGCCTCCAGTTTTTTTCATGTTTCTTTAAAGATAATTTAAAATGACATGGGTCATATACAGATACACTATCAGATAAAACGAAAACCCCACTGCCCCTCCCAGTCCCTGCCATCCTGCTGTTGTCAGGTGGGTGTGCGTCCCGTGTGCAAGAGGCAACTGTGTGCTTTGTCGCCGCCGTTTGCATCAGTGAAATCTACACTGTACATACTTTAAAAAGCTTTCCATGGTTTCTAGGGATCCTTCAACTTCAGTGCTATATGTAGTTATTTGAATTTATGTTAGGGCCAGTTAAAATGAAATAAAATTTAAAATTCAGTGTTTTCGTCCCTCAAGGACTCAATAGCCACATGTGACTGCTGGCTACCATGCAGACCGGAACGCTGCCATCACTGCAGAGCTGTCTGCTAAACAGCACTGACCCAGGGCTGCTCTGTTCTCTATTCCTAGTATAGAGAATTTCACAATGCAGATGCATCGTCATTCGTGTGATCCTTTTCCTATTCACAACATTTATCTTTTTTTCTGTCATAAATAAATGCTCTGTTTGGAAATGGTTCTCTAGACATTGAGAAGTAGAATGGCTGCATGAATGAACACGGCCACTCTAATGAAAAAATTATTTCCAGATTCCCCTTTTCAGCGGATTTACCAATTTACATTTCCACTAGTGGTGTTGGAGAGTACCATGTCCCCCTCTCCTTACTAACACTGGGTACCATCACCCTTAAAGATATTTGCAGGGTGTCGAGTGCAATACTGCTTCTTCTGATAGAGTGTTGTGATTACTATTGGGGTCACACATCATTTTTATATTTGTCCGTAGTAGTTATTGCTGGCTCCTTTCCTTTGAGAATTTTTTAAGGTTGTCTCTCTTTTTTTGGTATTGCTCCTATAGATATATACACATTCTTGATATGACATCTTTATATGTTACAACTATACCTTTCCCATTTGTCATTTGCGTTTTCTATGGGGTATCTTAAGTTGCTTAGGATAATTTTAAAAGTTGAAGTGGTCTACTGAATAGTTAGTCCTTTCTTGTATGTTTTTGCATTTTATATTTTCTTTAAGAAGCTGTTTTGTACCTCCAGGTTATAAACCCATTTTTCTATCTTTTGCATAGGCTTCTTTTTCCTTATATTTAGATTTCCAGTCCATCTTCTTACCTTGTTGTCCATTTGACCTCCTCTTTTAATGCCTACCTTAAACTTCTTTTTTACCTTCTATATCCTCTTCCTTCTTTTCCTTAATTATCTTATACCCTTTTCCTCTATGATGGGTACAAATACATCACTCTGTATCAATGCTGTGCAATAGAAATATATCGTGAGCCTCAAATCCAAGTCACATATGTAATTTTAAAATTTCTAGTATTGCTTCGGCTGGTGTGACTTGGTGGATTGAGTGCAGGGCTGTGAGCCCGGTTCAATTCCCAGTCAGGGCACACGCCTGGGCTGCAGGCCAGGTCCCCAGCAGAGGGCACGTGAGAGGCAACCACACATTGATGTTTCTCTCCCTACCTTTTTCCCATCCTTTCCCTCTTGTCTAAAAATAAAAAAGAATTTTTTCTAGTATCCATATTTTTTAAAAGTAAAATTAAATGGGTGAAATTAATTTTTACATTTTATGTATAACTTGATATGACCAAAATGTTGTCATTTCAACATATAATAAATAGAAATGGTTATTAATGAGAATTTATTTCCCGATGAGTATTTTATACTCTGATACATGTCCTTTTGGACTAGTCACATTTCAGTTGCTTGAAAGCCACTCGTGGCTAGTAGCTACCATACTGAACAGTGCAGGTCTGTACTATAATTACATGTGTATGTCATTATCTTCCCCATTCAACTATCTTCTCCTCAAGGAGAGAGTTATTTCATTCATTATTTTATTCGAGTTTTATCCAGACTCACAGTGTGTCAGTATTGTGATATGTTTGGGAAAAGCTAGGACATGCTTAGGTGACATCAATGGAAGAAGAATTTCCAGAAGAGGGAGACAGACCTCTAGCCTCACATGCTATCGATAGAACATTAGACCAAATAAATAACAGAGATCCTTCTCAACTGGAGGTACCGCAGTTCCATGGGGTCACACCTTATAACCACCTCAGAGTTCTTCAGAAAAGTGTGTCACCGAACCCTAAATATTTACTGATTTTTCAGACTCTGAGACACACCTAGGTTTTAGAGGAGAACAATAGGAAAAAATTTTTGAAGCAAAGAATGTGGTAAAAAAAAGTGCATCTCATAGTCTGAAAAATACGGTATTTGTGTCTGGGTGCTCGAATTTACTTTCACCTCTTTTTATAAGGCTCTAAACAGTCACTTTAAATTTATAGACTTTCTCTAAGCTTTATACATCACTGAAAAACCTGGTAATTGCATTTCGTTTTTCGTATTTTAATTGTTAATTTACTCCACATTTTTCACTTACATTAGTTCCTTCCTAATGTCTTCTGGGCCCCTCAGAAGTCTGGGCTTCTCAGACCTCATTTGGAAAGGCTGGATGAGACCGAGCTGAAAATCCCACATATGTGATGTTGCAGTTGATGAATTGATTTGTAGAATTACAGGGAACACTTGGGGTAGTTAACGCTCCGGTAAAGAGATCACACTTTGTATTCACATTGCTCCTTGCATCTCAGGTTCTTACATATTGTGAAGATAAGTAGACATTCATAATGCATATTTACTCCCAAAACTTCTTTATTAATAATATTCAGCAAGTAATCTTTAGATTTGAACTGGCAGTTGGTAGCCTTCATGTAGTTATTTCTCAAAGAACCAGAAACTTGTATTTCTAAGTGATTCTATCTCAATTCAAGGATTTTGAATGTTTTGGCTTTTAGTTCATTTCAAAGTTCAGAAATATAAGACAGGGTATTAGTATTATATTGGTAAAATCAGTATCAAAGTCCAAATTCCTAAACTTGCCAATATTTCCTGCTGAATTTATACGACTTATTTTTTTTTCCCTTCAGAACCTAACATATTTGTCTGTATACTCATTTCCACATAGGGCTATGGGACGCACCTGATGAATCATTTGAAAGAATTTCATATAAAACATGACATCCTGAACTTCCTCACATATGCTGATGAATATGCAATTGGATATTTCAAGAAACAGGTAAGTTTTTCACTGCGCAACACTATCTGTCATTCTTTTTTTTAAATATGCACGCAGGTAGCCTTCCTTCAAATGAGTCCCCCTCCCCTCAGTGTATTCTACTCATAAGAAGGACATAACATTTACCTTGTACGCCCCAAGCCAGAGGTACGCTCCAGACTGGATTAGGGGGTCGGACCCACACATAGGAAGGTAACTATTTGCTGAGCGAGTGAATGTTGTCTGCAAGGGAAGTATGATATTGCATCCTGCCATTCTCAGTTATGGAATCTGCAGTCTAAGGAGCAATTTTTCTGGGTGAGTCGTGTTCTCCATGTACAAGGGAAACAGATTCAGCCTGTGCAAAGACTCTCTCTACCACAGGGAGGAAACTCTCATGTTTAGAAGTAAGCTCCAGAGAGCTGTTGGTCTGCACTCGTAGGGGTGTCCAACCTTTTGGGGTCTCTGGGCCACACTGGAAGAAGAAGCATCGTCTTGGGGCACACATTAAATACATTGCAACATACAATTACAAAAAAGTCACATAATGGTTTAAGTAGATTTACGGTTTTGTGTTGAGCCGTGTTCTCAGCCATCCCGCGCCCCAGGCGGCCTGTGGGTGGCAGGCTGGGGAACGAACTGCCATCTCAGTCCTTTCTCATCAGAAGTTTTCCACTTGGCTTTTTAAGGGCTATTCTTTTTGCATGTTTATTTTTACAGTGCTGTATAGTTCCTATACATTTTCCACTTAATCTGACTACAAAAGTAATGTCTAGTTACTGTAGAAATTTTAGAAGAGGAAAATTGCTCGCAATTCTACCACTCAGGGAAAGTTAATATGAATTGCTAATGTTTTGATATATACCCTTCTGATATTTTTTTCTGTGTGTGTTTGTGAACGTATGCGTATATATCAATATAAAAATTGGTTAATAGTGTCATTTAATTATTTACCTTTTTACTTAATGTATTCTGATTATTTTCATATAGTCCTCTGAGATTTTGTTGTATAAGTAGAAAATAGTTTATTAAACCAATAACACCTTTTGGGACATTTAGGTGTTTTGTGTATATCAGTGTGGCTGTGTGTGTATGTGTGGTAGTGTGTGTGTGTGTGTGTGTGCATTACCCTCATCTATGGTAATTTGCCTTGAATAAATGTCTAGAAGCAAAGCTGCTTCCAGACATATTTAAGGTTTTGTTATGCATTGCTAAATACTGGAACAGTTTCTGTTCTTGTCAGCAATATAGGAGAGGGCTCAGGAAATTTGTTGATAATTGGAAAGTAGGTTTTTTACCCCTGTCCTTGGTAACAAATTGTATATGTTTGCATTTATTTAGTCATTGTGAGGTTTGACTTGTTTTTCCTTGTTCATTGACCCTTTGTATTAAATATTTTTGAATTGCCAATTAATTCATTGGATTTTGCCTTTTTCCTATTAAAATATTTCATTTTACATTGCTTTATGAAAACTCTTTGCATTTACCGATATTAACCTTTTATCTAATGATTTCCCCCCATTTGTCATGTTTCAACATTGTTTATGGCTTTTTTTAAATGTACAGGATTTTAAAGATTTTTATTACATGAAGTCTGTTCACTTTTCCTTAAAAAAATATAGGTCCTTATGGGACTAGAAAGCTTTCCCTCTTCCGGTGTTAGATAATTCGTCACCTGTATGTTTTTTTCCTCATTCTGTGGGACGTGCATATGGCTTTTATCCTCATGCTCACCTGACAACTCAGTGGGATTGTGTCATGAGTGTGCTTGAGCATCAGCTTTCCTAGGTTGTAGGCACATTGCAAAGTGTGAAGTTGCAGCCCTGATTCTTGAATGACTTGCCTGTAGTCTTGTTTGAGGGAGATGGCAATAATTGCTTGGAAAGTGTTTGCTGAAAGAGTCGGCAGGAAACTGCTGGTGATAGTTCTGAAGTCTGTGGAATTTTCTGCCAAAAACTGAAATAGGCACTGTAAGGAAAATTATGTTTATATTATAAATATATGAATATATCCCCTGTGGCATGATGTTATTACAGCTTAAAGTATGTAAATGAATAGATGGTAAAGCATTTATGTCTGAAAACAGCCATGCATTGTGATGGTCTGGCAGTTTTTTGCCTGTAAAGTTGGGGTTTCATTTTTCTCAACATCAGGGTTTTACTAGGTGTGCTTTTTGACAAGCTTTTCTTTCAGACGTCAGTTCAATGTTAATTATGGATTTGTTGAGAACCCTGGGGGGGGCCTCTATTCCATTTTGGGAGTATTTGTGCAATTTAATGCAAATGGAAACCTTATTTTTACTTAATAGCTGTTTCTGTTAACAAACCACTTTTTAATAATATTGTTATGTTTTTACTATGACTAATTTTTTTACATGGTCTTGCTTCCTGTTTGCACATTTGATTTTTGATGTTTTTAAAGTTCATGAAGCGTATCTTGGTGCTGAGCACTGTACCTAGCACATAGTTAGCACTCAACAGATATATTTTATACATAAGACCCATATGAATGAATTTATTTGCTTTGTAGGGTTTCTCCAAAGAAATTAAAATACCTAAAACCAAATATGTTGGCTACATCAAGGATTATGAAGGAGCCACTCTAATGGGCTGTGAGCTGAATCCACAGATTCCATACACAGAATTTTCTGTCATCATCAAGAAGCAGAAGGAGGTAAGCGTGTGACTGACTGACTCTTGTTCCTCTAATCAGGCCCGTCTCAGCTCTGTGTGTGTGGATTTACTGGGTGTCATAATCTCAGTTTGCTATGGTTTCTCTAGATTTTTTCTTGGAAGCTGTCCTTGGTCCGTCTCCTCTCAGGGTCACCGTTCCTGAGAGGGTCAACAACTTCTTAAATTGGTGTAAAAGTGCAAACTTGTAAAATCTGATGAGTCAACTTCACCTTCAAGGCCTTTTACATTCTGGTCTCAAGCATCCTTCCCAAACTTACCTCTTTAGTTTCTTTTCTAAACCGGTCTCCAGAGGCTACTATTGATGCTTTAACTCTCTTGCTTGGTGCCTTCATCCCTTGCCCACCTCCCTCTCCTAACCCACACACAGACTGAACCACTTCAGGCTGTGTTCCAGCTCCTCCTGGGAACTTCCCCAGCACTAGTTTGAGCCACCCATTGGAACTGCAGTTATTCGTCATCTTACTTAGGCATTTGAGTTAGCATTGTATTAGCCTCTCCTTTTACGAGGTTGCAAGGTCTGAAGGCTACACATCTAGGTATTAAGAGATTTGTTATCTAATATTGGGGTAGAGTCTTACACATCTGAACTGAAAGAGAAGCATAAAGAGAAAGCTTGATAGACTTGAGTACACAGCACTTTTACATTTCTCTAAGATGGGGGAAAAACACAAAAAGAGTATTTATTAATAAATAAGTAAACTTTGTGTGTTAAGCCCAGGATCACCTCGTTGCTCGAAGCTCAAAAACGTGGAGTTTGCAGCTGTGTGTCATTCCACACAATTCCACTTTACACTTCTGTTATTCATTCTAGCACACTTTTCTCCAAAGGTAACTTCCACAAGTTCTTCTATCTTAAATCTTTTTTCCTCATTTTTACTAATGTCCTTTAAACTCAGTTCTTAGTTATTTGTCAGACATCGATATAACTGACATTTGTGTACAGTGTCTGGTGCATAGTAGCTGCTCAATAAGTATTTTCCTTTTACTCCAAGTGGTTCAAATTCATGGTTGGGTTTTTTTTTTTTTTTTGCTTCTTATGGAGGTGAGCAAAAGGTTTTTATTTTATTTTTTTAAGTTAGAAAATAAAAACAACCTTTTGCTGTTGTTTGGTGAAAATGTCAGCCTCAGAGAGAATTCCAAATAGAGTACTTGGAGAGTTAATAAAAGCACAGCAGGCGCCTGTCTCTGTCTCTCTCTGAAGAGCTAGCTTTCTTCATTGTTCTCTTTGGGGCTTAATGAGCAGGTCTGAATTCAGCAGCTCATTGTTAGCCTTAGAGGCTGCTGGCCAACTAAAGCCATCAGGACGCTGTCAGCTGCTCATTCCTCACTCCTCCTCCCAGCAGCCCAATTCACTCCGCAGTGGAGGCAGGATTCCCCTGGCGGGGTCTGCAGATTCCCATAGTCCAGATCTGTTGGCTCGTCCCCTCCGAAGGGGAAAACCATAAACACAGAGCTAACAAAAGCAGTCAGCGTTTCAAAAGACAACACTCCTTCCCCCGTGTTCTTTTTCCTTTCCCAGAAAGGATCTTGTTTCCATCTCTCCTCACCTTCTTTGTCACCAGCCTTCTCTAACATACACCAATGAATGGATGATGCAAGCTTGGAGCTCTCACCTAGTTCTTTTAAAAGAGATCTGAACTCACCAAAATAAAATACTTGGATTCACGTAGTACCTTCTTCTACTGAATTCAAATGATTTTTGCAAGTATCTTTTATTTTAACTTTGAAATCCCCCCTGAGGAAGGCGGGGACTAGTGGTGGTGAGGAACAAACGGTAAATCTACGGAGGACTTTCCTAGCCCCTGAAAGCCTAGAGAGCAAGGGTCGGTTGTGGTTGTGGTTAGAGCGGTTGGACAGGTAGTGCAGAGTGGAGAGCTGAGTACTCCTTTGTGAGTGTTGACTCTAGGGGAGTGGTAGGCTCCCCAGGGGCCGAGTGTCATCTGAGATGGCTGTGGGGGAGATGTGCCTTAAACTCAGCAGCCAGCTGGGGAATTAGCATGCAGAAAGACTCAGAGTCAAAGTAGATTCATGGGCTCCTGAATAACTAGGGCCATAGATGGGTGGGTGGGTAATGAAAGCCACTGTTTGAGAAAGTGCGACTAGGCTGTGAGCAGGCAGAGTTGGCTCTGTGTGTGTGTGTGTGTGTGTGTGTGTGTGTGTGTGTGTGTGTGTGAATGTGTGAGCAGGCTTGGGGGGGGGGGAGAGAAACTTCTTCAATCTTAATTTCTGTGTGTGACTACAAGGGATTGATTGGGTTTGGAGGAGCCAAAGGCAGCGTGAGAAGGAATGAGATTTTTTTGTAAGAAGACATGTTAAGACTTGGCGACATTACAGATGGGGAGGTCTTCCTCCAGTTTTCCTTTTGGGAAGATTAAAACTGACAGCAAAGGAAGGAGAGATGGATTTGAGGAGAGAAAGATGAGAACATGGTAGAATTGAAGACGTTTTCTAGGGAGGTGAAGAGGCTAGAACAGAAAGTGTGTCCTTTCTCCAAAGTGATTTTTGGAGGCACAGCAAGATTAGGAGGCCTCCCTTCCCATTACCAGTCACCCACCAGGAGCCCACACCTTCCAGGTGCCGTGTGAAGGGTGTGGAGACCACCTCATAGGTTGTCATGTCGGAGAATCCCTTGCTAAGGAGAAAATGCATTTCAAAGTGTATTTTCTGAAGGCATTCACTTAAGAGATTGCCATTGGGAGTTTTTTTCCAAAAACATTTGCACTTAGTAATAAATGAGGGGAGAGCACCCATCCAGACCTGTGCTGTCCAAAGTGGCAGCTACTAGCCACGTGTGGCTACTGAGAACTTGATACAGGGCTAGTCCAAATTGGGATGTACTGCGAGAGGAAATACACTCTAATTTCGAAGACCAAGCATGAGTAAAAGAAGGCAAACTATTGTGGTTTTCTTCTCTTGATTATCTGCTGCAGCGGTAATAATTTGGATATATTGGATTAAATAAAAATGTATTTTTAAAATCAGTTTTACCTATTCTTTTTTTTTTTTAAAATGTGGCTACAGAATATTTTATATTACACGAGGGGTGTTTGCATTATGCTCTGTTGGCTAGCACCAGACCAGGTTAACAGGAGTATGCTTTGACTAGTCCCAGGGTTTTATGCAGTTCCTTGTGTAATGGTTAGATTTATGAATTTAGGTTGCAGCAATTATCAGTGCTAAGTCTGAAATCAGGCAGCCCGGAACTGGACATTTTTGTTTACTCTTGTGAGTTCAGTTAATGACTGCTACTGTTTTATTTTTTTCTTTTCCAAAATTCAGTTATGATTTGGTTAATGTCAGGCTGGCGATTTTTTTTTTTTTGGTAATTAGAAATAATTAGCTTGATACATTAGGAATGACTTTGTAAAACAAATACCTCTCAAAATCGTCACATCATGATTGTGATGCCTTAACAGCCGACACTTTGGAGCTGCTATTTTTATGCAGAAAGCAAAGGTTGCCACTCAGGCCTTGAAAATTTGAGTGGTAAGGCGGTCCTCCCAGGCCCAGAAAGCCTCTCTGGGGCCTGTTCTCCTGCTTCTTTAGTCTGGAGGGAATGGTTCCTCGTCACGGTATGTAGAGAGGTTCTGACCCAGGCCTGACACAGATCTCCACTGCTTTTCCTGTAGCTCTGACAGAGATTCTGGGACAAGCTGGGCAAAATAATTAGCTCAACACTAAAGAGGACAGTGGGCCCTCGGGGCAGAGTGTTCTCTTCATATTGACGTTTTTGCTGGCCGGGGACAAGTACTCATAAAGATGGTTGTGTGGATGTACTAAGTAAGCATGGTTTAACAGAATGTTTTCTGGATTTACCTGTTCAATCGAATTCACCCCTTTCTCCCTTTTTGGTTCCTAAAGACTTCATTTTGTTAGGGAAACAGCTCCTTGGGTTGGCTGACTGAAGCTGTAGCTGCAGACTCCCCGCCACTGAACACAGTTTCTTCCTGTGCCTTACAGATCATCAAAAAGCTGATAGAAAGAAAGCAAGCCCAGATTCGAAAAGTCTACCCTGGACTTTCATGTTTTAAGGATGGAGTTCGACAGATTCCGATTGAAAGCATTCCTGGAATTAGTATGTATATAGATCTTCTTTTAGTAACAAACTATAGAAATGAGCCCTGAAAGTATAATCTTTTTATTTTTTATTTTTTATTATTTTTTATTTTTTAACTTCATTTTTATTGTTGACACTATTATACATACCCCATTCTCTCTCCCCTTTGCCCACCCCCACCCAGCCAGCCCTTACCCTCCCTTCCCTCTGGCCTTCACCATATTGTTGGCTGTATCCATGGGCTATGCATATATGCATATGTATTATTTTAAGAATGACATTTCTTGCCCTGGTTGCTGTGGCTCAGTGGATTGATTGAGTGCTGGCCTGTGAAGCAAAAGGTTGCTAGTTCGATTCCCAGTCAGGGCCCAAGCCTGGGTTGTGGGCCACATCCCCAGTAAGTTACATATGAGAGGCAACCACACATTGATGTTTCTTTTTCTCTCTTTCCCTTCCCCTCTGAAAATAAATAAAATCTTTTTTTTTTAAGATTAAAAAAAATTTTTATTTAGTTATTTTTCAAGTACAGTTTTTTTGTTTATTTCTCCCATCCCAGCCTCCCCTGCCCCTTGCTCCCCACCTCCCTCCCATTTCTGAAAGTATAGTCTTGATAGATCTTCACTGAAAAGCAGAATCTTCTGGTAATGCCATCAGCTGTGTTTGAAACTATTTCTAGAGTGCAGTACTTTAAAGAGCGTTTTGCTCAGCCCTTCTCCATCTGGGTTATTTCTAGTCTTTTAAGAAGCCAGCAAATGCTTTCCTTTGATATCCTTTCTCTACTTCCCTTTGTAAACAAACCAAAGAGTGCTTAGACGACCCCTTGTTGTAGCTGTTAATATCCATCATTGATTGAGAGCCTGCTGTTTGTAGCACAGTGCTAGGCACTGCCCGCAGGTGTCCTTGCAAGTAGGGGACTTCTGTTCTTACAGGCAGGGAAACTCTGTCTCGGAATGGTTAAGTTCTCTGACCTCACGTGGCAGGCGCATGGCCAGGAATTGTCAGAGTGAGACAGGCTGTTTCCTACTCCTTCATCATCTCGCTGTTCTCACCGTGTCTCATTGCTGCCATGGGTACAGTCTGTGTAGATCTGTGAACTTTCACATTTCTAGGAACAGTGGTTGAAAATCACATAATTTGTTTCCCTATTTCACACCAGTTTTCCAAAGGGTTCTTATCTGGGAGTATGTGAGCAGTGAGTTGTGTTGAGTTAAAACATACACAGTAGCTCTTTTAGTAGATGAAAAGCTATCAAATATCAGCACTTTTGTTTGGTTCAAGTCCAGGATCTTCGGGTATATGGAAGATTTATAAAGCAAAACAAAGTCAAACGAACTAAAATTCTCCAGAAGAGAACAAGACGTTATTTGTTTTTTTTCATGATATGTTTCATGTATGTGTCTTCTTTACAAAACCTACTCTGTAGGACATCTTGCTTTCATTGCCAGACCAGAATTTTACTTCCTCATATTATCCTGATTAATGTCATAAGAGCTACCACAACACTGAATGCCAGTTTGTGCCAGCCATCGTTCTGTGGGATAACATCACCTAATTTTTGGAATTCTGTTTTACAGATTGGTAAACTGAGAGCCAAAGGTTAAATAACTTATCTGGGGTAAAAATTGAAAAAAAGAAAAAAATTAGCTTTTAAAGAGAAAGCAAGAAATCAAATCCGAGTCTGCTGGACTCTGGAGTATGTTTTCTTTCTCCTACACTAAACCATCTCGCATTATAAGCAAGGTCTTTGCCAAATAAAATATAGACTAGGACAAAGTTTATTCTAACCTAAAATAGCAGCTTAACTCTTCACATGGTGATTGGCAAAAAAAAAAAAAAAAAAAGTGATGTTGAGTTTAAAAAAATACATGTGCTGCCCTGGCTGGTGTGGCTCAGTGGATTGAACATGGGCCTAACGAGTCACTGGTTCGATTCCCAGTTGGGGCACATGCCTGGGTTGCAGGCCGGGTCCCCAGCAGTGATTGTGTGAGTAGTACAGCCACACACTGATGTTTCTCTTCCTCTCTTTCTTCCTTCTTCCCGCTCTGTCTAAAAATAAATAAAATCTTAAAAAACATAAACAATATATGTGCCTACAGTACTGGACGTTATTATTTTTTACGCTTTTCTCTGAAAGGTTAAAGTTCCTTCTTTAAAAAACATTAACCTATAATAGGGCAGTGTTGTCAGTCTTGGGAATGTTTTGTACTGTTAGCTGTATTTGGAGGGAACTAACTGCAGTTAGTTTCAGTCTTTTCAGGAATAGACTGAGGCAGGGCTGTAATTTATTGCATTTCCAATAAGTGTTAACTGTTATTCTCTTTACTCAAAACAGTTCTCACTCAATCTTTAATTTTTGTTGACATATAGGAGAGACAGGCTGGAAACAGAGTGGAAAAGAGAAAAGGTAAGTGGGATGGGCGGGAGGCTATTAATGGAAGTGGTCCCCTCTCCCCTCCCAGCAACTTAGAGAAAATGGACAAACTGACCGTAGTCACCAGTATAAAACACTTGTTGGGTGTCAGTTTTCATAAAAAATTCAGGAATGAATTCAGTTTTAGGTTTTTGTAGAAATGAGCTGAATAGGAATCAACTGGCAAGAGGATAAAAAACTAATCATCGTTTCTCGTTGTTCACCCTTTTCCTTTCAAGTAAAGAGCCCAAAGACTCTGACCAGCTTTACAGCACGCTCAAGAGCATCCTCCAGCAGGTGAAGGTAGGTATTTTCTTTTCGGCCAGCCCATGCAAATGTTTTGAAACGATTTCCCACACAGAATTTCCATATGAGATACCTTGCTTTTTTCTTTACCCAAGAGCCATCAAAGCGCTTGGCCCTTCATGGAACCTGTGAAGAGAACAGAAGCTCCGGGATATTATGAAGTTATAAGGTTCCCCATGGGTAATGCCATTAACCTTTTCTAAGTATAGATTTAAAACTCTCTGGATAGTGGTGTGGGGGACAAATGGTCACTGAGGTTAATTGTAGTCTTCTGTAGTAGGGCAGGGTGTGAATGATGGGCAATGAGATTCCATGTACCTGGGGAAAGCAGTGATGTCAGAGCAGAATGACACAGGAGAGGTGGGTGCCTGTGTTTCTGAGACCTTCTGCAGCTGCCTGGGAGCCCACACACCAACAACACTAGGTGCAGAAAGCCCAGGTGGGGACTGCAGACAGCATGAGATGTGAAATGCTGACTGCTTGGACATAACTTTGCTTATACTCTACCTATGGGGTTGCAAATGGATAAGCATCAGCTTGTGCTCTTGACATATTGTGAGTCTGTTTAAGGATTTTTGAAGATAGTACAGAAGAAGTTAAATGAAGCTGCGTGACGGCTCTACTTCCAGAGGGAGAAATCCTAGTTAACGCAGTCCTTGATCTTTCATGCTCTTGGTGGATACTATTAATGTCCCTCCTTATACTCCTATTTTAAGCTTTGTCCCACATCCAAACCAACCAAACAAAAAAAACGCCATTAGATAGGTACTTAGTAGAATTTGCTGCCGCGCCTGCACCATGCTAAATTGAATGAATTGAGTGAATTAAGAATCCCCAAATTAAACCGATCTGGCATAGTGCAGATGACAGACAACTAGCTGAAAAAAAATTTTTTTCCGTCTGCTGTGTGACCATTTTGGGGAGAGAGCCCATGTGAGCCTGTGTCTTCTGTACCTTTCTACCTGTCATCTACTTCTGGTGCCAGAAAAGGATTCCAGTGTGAAAGAAGGAGCTCTATTAGCTCCCTGATAGCAAAGTCGCTTGTAGATGTTTTCTGTGGCATTCATTTTCACATGAACACTTGATATAATTGTGGTAGTGATTTCAGTAGTCTGTACTCCTTGAAGTAGACATACAGCCAAACGCTCTTCTTTCCCTTTTGTCTCTCTCTGCCTTGCTTCCGTGTATTTCGGCACATGAAAACCAAAGTGAGGGCTGACCGAGTCTAGAGTTCTGAAGGGAAGGGTGATTCGGGAATGAGTATTTCCCATGATGTAAAAAATGTGTTAAAATTCTTTATGTACACTTTAAAACCTAACTGACCTTTGCATCCTCCCTTCCTGGACCACGTCAACTTCTTTCGTGAAATCCTCACGGGAGGTCGTGTGCCTTTGGAGAGAATAGTTTTCTTTCGGCTGTGCACGTGCCCTCTGAAGACCTGCAGTGGTGGGTCCAGCAGGCTTGTCCGTCGTAGCCTGCTCACAGCCTGCTTTCTGGAAGTTGTTTGCTTGGTCCAGTCTGAGAAGGATGTGAGCTTCTCCACACTTGTGTGTGGAGCTGGATGCTTGGCAGGGGAAAATCGACCACACTGATTAAGACCAGTGGTGGGCAGGCTGAGGTGCGTGCTGGGCAAAGTCAGTTAAACCAGCACGTGGTGCTCTGTAGTGGGGCTGTAATAATTTTGCGGGGATGCCTTTAGGTGCTGGACAAAATATGTAGTTTTGTCCCCTAAGGTGGTTGTGTTTTTAAGAAGATAAGTCAATAATTTTACTCTTCCTCATTACCTTCTCTTGTCTCTTTACAAACACATTTCTTTCTCCTGTGCCTTAAAAAACTTTTCTTCCATATGAATGAGGTCTAACCTGTTTTATTTAGGGAACATTGTCAGAATAGTCTAGTTGAAATAGTCTAGCATGTCTTCTTAACCACACGTGGGTTGCGAGGCAGGATTTCCGATTTATCTAAGAATTCACAAGTTGGTGGCAGGGGGAAGAGTGAAAATAGAATGATTTAATGGTGTCTCCATATTTGGTATTACTGATGTTTGTCAGTAATACCAAATCCCCCTCTTTTTTAACTTTTGCTGTTTGGTCAACTGAAAGAATCTGAAAAGGCTAGAGGAAGAAAGATGTTGTCTCTCACTTTAGAATCCAGAGGAAATGTGTAGAATTGGTTTCAATTCTTCAGAAAGGCCCAAACACTTCTATGGTTCTTGTTTTGTTTCTGTTCTGTTTTAGGTTCTCCCCATCTCTTCTGACCCTCTCCCTTCCAAAAAATATGTTTGAAAGGCTTTTAGATGAACTCTTTTTGGTTAAGTTTCATTGTCTTCGTCCCCTTTTAGTTTTGGGGTTAAACGTCTCTTCTAAAACATTATATTTGGCAGGATATCTTCAGTGCTAGGTATTTAGGTGGAAGAAAGATAAATGTCCAATTTCACTAAGAGAAGCACAGCTCACTTGCTCTTCTGTTGTTAGATAAGAAGACATCTTCATCTGTTCATTGACACCCGGGTGAGACATTAGAGGAGTATTTACTGAGCCTTTGTGTGTCTTAACACTTTTTCACTTTTCTCTCTTTCCAAACTATTTTCATGAGAGAAGAAAGAAAATTGAAAGTCAAACTCTGGCCTAACTCTTTAGTTAGGTCAGGCTTTTGTCAAAGGAAATAAGAAAAAGCGGATATTTTTCCATTTTTTCTTTGTGTTCGATTTAGGATTTTGATGCAAATTAATTTCTTCCAGTTTGGGGATGTTGCACATAAATTTATTTGTCTTATTAAATGATTATCCCAATGTATTTGGCTATAAGTTTCTTTCCCTCTGGAAAATTTGATGATGATAGTGGGAATTGAGGTTATTGATATTCAGAAGTATTTCTTTAGTGATTTTGACTTATTTTTCCATCTATAGTTAATGGAGTTTTTAATTATAGAACCAAACTTAGAGACAGCTAGGGACCTATAAGTAGACAATGTTAATAAGTAGAAGATCTTGGCACCTTCTAATTTGCAGGGAATTCTTTAAATCAGTCCTGAGACTGAGCATTACAGGAGCCCCATTGTATTCTTGTAAGTTTAGATGAAACACTGTTCACTTGTAAAAATGATACAATTTAAAGCACGTAGATGTACTGGGAAATTCCTATTTTTTTTTTCACAATAGCCTCAGAAGGCTTATTTGCTTTAGAAAATAGATTACTAAGTAAAGTTTGTCATCATTCTTAAGTCATTTATAGAACATGAAAGGACATCCATTTGTACCATTTTACCTGCCAGGTTGCTGGTGCACTTGCAGGCGTGTTTCTGATCAGTTTCTCTACCTTAGTTCTCTGCAACAACGGAACAACTGGGACTGTGGTTAAAGAAACTCAGTCCGGTTGTTTTAAGTAATGAAATGATTCAATACAAGTGTTCCACCTGATTTAGTCTGTGTAGGTAAAGCCTCTTCTGTATGAATCAGAATGAATAGCTAACAGTACTTAATTCATATTTATCACTGCTAATCTACTACTTATCTTCTTGTACTGAATAAGGGATTGGACCAGATGATTAATAATGGTCCCTTCGGTGTTAAAATGCTGTGAATTTACACGAGCAAGAACACAAGATTTCAGAACTGTTTTCACTGATCATATGAATTTCTCTTATGCAAAGGCACTGGGGTGGTAAAAATGTAATTAAACTGATGGCACAGAGCTTTCAGTCTCACTTGTGTCAACTGACGTTCAAAAGAAGTCACGGTTGCTAATATATATATTTTTTTCTGTGCAGATCTGAAGACCATGAGTGAACGCCTCAAGAATAGGTACTATGTGTCTAAGAAATTATTCATGGCAGACTTACAGCGAGTCTTTACCAATTGCAAAGAGTATAACCCCCCTGAGAGTGAATACTACAAATGTGCCAACATCCTGGAGAAATTCTTCTTCAGTAAAATTAAGGAAGCTGGATTAATTGACAAGTGATTCCCCACCCCCCCCTGCTTCTTAGAAACTCATCGAGCAGTGTGCCTGAAGCAAGGTGGTTTAGTTTTACAAAGAATTGGACATAATGTGTTGAGGATACTTGTAAATGTAATAATTAGCACTTTTGAAAAACAAACAGAAACCTCCTCGTAGCTTTTCAGATACATATTTAAATTAGACTCATAGGACATTTTTATTTTATGAAATAGATTTTAATCTATTTACTACTATCAGTGTAAATTTTCTACGGCATGTCCATTAGGTGAATATTCAATAATAGATGATTGGGGGTTTCCTCAAAACCCGTATATGAGGAAATTGCACATCGTACCAAGATTTGGGGGAATCCAGAAAATTTCAGACCATGAATGTTTCCATTTTTTCTAATGGAATGTGAGAATTTATTTTTATTTTTTTCTGAAGGATTTTAAGGAAGGGATACATGATTAAAAGCCTGTAAAAGGTGAACTGTGGGATGTTTGAAGTCTCTCTGTAGACTTTTTCTCTATATATTTTAAAAACACTCATCTAGGTGAGGTGCTTTGAGCAGTTCTGAAAAATGCAGTTTCATAAAAGCAACTGCTTTGATTTCTAAGGAAGAAATTCTAAATAATGCAAACTTTTTTATAAGCATCGGGTTTTTAATAATTCTGTCTACCTACAAAAAAACTTGTGAGTGTATAACCACTATTTTAATAATTATTTTCTCTACACAAATGTGTAATATTATATTTGACTTTGCTTATGCAGGCCATAAGTTCCAAAAGGCAATTTCCTGGGCCACAAAAGCATACATTTGAAAACACTTGAAATTGAATCAATGTGCTTTAATAGGAAAAGAAGTATAATCTATATATGTACCAAATATGGTGAATACTTGTTCTAATAAATAAAATTTTTTTCCCTTTTCTATGATACACAACCACCCACTGATAACGTACATGTGGACATTTTTCCTTTTGCATCTTCAGATTGTGTATCTTCATTGTCTAAGTGGAATTAAATGACCACCAAGATTTGCTGTCAGTATTTCAAACACCTACATTGGTTTGTAGACCCCGGGTGATACCCCACTAAAATCCATCATACAACCTGATTAACCAGTCTCGGGATTCTGGTCCAGTGCTTGGATTTAGTTGCCCATTAACACTACATAGATGAGTGGAATACCTGCCACCCCAGCTCTGGGAGAACCAACTAATAGGAAACCATTGAAGGCCATCTTGATGGTCTTGACACTAATTTTTGTGACACAAATTTATAAACTGATTTTTGTAAAGAGCTAGGTTTTAACATGATGTTTTCTATTAGCGCAGATGAATTAAGACGATCACTTAAAGTCATTAAAAAAGAGTTGCCAGAGATAATCTGCATTAAGGAAAAAACTTTAAGTTGGAAGTATTGTTTTTAATATGTAAGAGATATTCAGAATGCTCAACATGAAAAATGCCTCAGCTTTTTTTAAGGATAAGAAACCACCTTGAGTGGCATCTAGATTTCTAATGAAGAATGATGATACAGTTTGGATTAAGTATCTTGGACTGGTTTGACACAGTGCTTGGTACTGGATCTGCCGAAGCACCTGTCCAGCTTGGTATCCTGTGAAAGTTTGTTATTTTCTGGGTAGACATTCTTATAGAGTATTGTCTTTAAAATCAGATTGTCTCTTCTATATTGAAAGCATTTTTATGTTTTCTAATTTAAAAATTAATATTTTCTTATAGATATTGTGCAATAAAGCTGAAGTAGGATGTGTGGTTTTTGCAAATGCTTTAACAGCTGATGAAATTTTACATTTGTAAAATTAATATATTGTACTGGTACAAAATAGTTTTAAATTATATTTTAAAAAGCTCTTGAATCTGGTGGTGTGTTTTCTTCTTCTGGTAGATTGATTTTTTAACAGGGTACGATCAGATGGATGGCCATTGACTGTATCCTTAATTCTTAGTCCTTAAGCATTTTGTCCACCATGTTTAGAACTGTTGCACTGGTGGGAAGTTTCATAAAAATCTATAGCCCATCAGTGAGAGATTTTCAAGAGGAGAGTCACTGAACTCTGTGTCTCTTGAGTTGTCCACTACATTTTGTCTACCGTCACTCATTAACCAGGGGAAAAAATCCAGCTAAAAGAGGGCTGTTGGTTTAGAAATTAATTCTTTTCCCAGTTTGTGTACTTTGCTCTTGTGAAATAGATGAATGAGCAGAGCGATAAAAACACAGCTGATTCCTGGGTTCTTCCATACGAGCTTCTCATGTTACTAAAAAATCTGCCTATAGGAAATATTACTATAATATCCTGTTGGGGTATGAGGGGACCCACCAAAGAGCACCCCTCTTCCCTTCTGAATTCTGAACTGAGAGTTCGAGCCTAAGGCATATACAATGGCCAAGATATCTTTATTAATGACAATATGTATATTGGAAAATATGATCTATATATCTGTGGAATATGGGCTAATAGTGAACCCCAGAATGTAAGAGATATTCTGAATGCTCACAATGAAAAAATGCCTCAGCTTTTTAAAGGATAAGAAACTATCTTGAATGGCATTTAGATTTCTAATGAACAATGATGATACCGTGTAGATTAAGTATCTTGGACTGGTTTGACACAGTGCTTTGTACTGGGTTTGCCAAAGCACCTGTCCAGCTTGGTACCCTGTGAAAGTTTATTTTCTGGGTAGACATTCCTACAGAGTATTGCCAGCAGCTCTACCACTGCCAACTCCCCCTGCCCCCAAAGGCATGGCCTTGACCATTAAGCCCAATCAATGCCCAGCCAAGAGCAATTGTGCTGTGTGAGGGCAGGCCAACTCCAAAGAGGCACAGGTGAGTAAGAACTAAAACAATCCAGTCTGGTGTCTCACTCTGGCTCACCAGGTAGGTAAGTCCCTCCCAGAAGGGGAATGAATCAGGGCCAGAGGGAAGCCGGGGGGGGGGGGGGGGGCGGGGGGCGATGGATGTCCTTCTATGGGAAAGTACATGTCTGGAATGGAGGTAAGTTTCTATCATCCCACCCCCATATAGTCAGTCATAGTAAGAAAAACCTCTGTCATTATTTTGATTATTCAACACAACTAAAAACTGTATTCATTAGGAAAAGTGAAAAGACTTTGAGGTTTTCACATTACTTGGACGTAAAATGTATAGTCCTGGAATCTAAGAAGTAAAATAGGATGAGACTGAGGCACTGTGCAGAGGTTAGTAATGGGTCGTCCCCTTGACGCTGACACTCTTCAGACCAGCCCTGAGTGCTTATTGAAGGGAGCCTAAGAGCTGCACGAGGAAAGGTACTGGGGGCAGCTCCGGGCCTTTTCCACATTGTTCTGCTCTGCCCCTTCACTAGCATTCTCCTTTTAGCAAAGTGAAAAACCCAAAGAAAAAGGGGCAAGCTAGTATGGAATTTCAAAAGTCAAAATGACTGGAAGAGGTAGTAATTAAGCTGACTTTTTTTCTTTCTTTCTTTCAAGATGCTTGCAACATATGTTTAGATTTCTTAACTATTCAAATATTTTTTTTTCCTGGCAGAAAAAAGTGAGTGTGTAGAGGGTGGTGGGTGGGGGCCAGGGAAAGTGGTGGCAGGGACTGAAATCAATGCCTCTATTTGAGTCTTAAGGCTGTTGGTGGAGTGGTGGTATTTACCCTCTCCTTTGGGTGCTATATTGGGTACCAGTGCTATTAATACAAGGTGGACATTGGCAGGGCAAAAAGTGTTAGTAATGAATGCCACAGTTGGGTAAAGAGATGAAAAGTGAACTTCAAGAAAAAAAGTAAGTAGAAGGTTTCCAGGTATATTTGGAGGAAGAGCTTAAATAAAGTAAAAAGAAGATGGTGAGGCAGTGAGAACGCTCCCGTGTCCTGAGAAGACCTCTAGGGTATGCTGCGTCTATTTATGCTTTGGATTCTCCACGGGAACATCTTTTTGTGTGTATGTGTGGAAAAGGGAAGCTGTTTGACAATAACAGAGTTGGAGATTTCCTTTAGGTTTATTAAAAAGCAGTATAATTTCAACAAAGCAGAGACAAGCAAGGAAAACAAGTTACCTTTCCTGCTCCCTCTATTATTGGGAAGTCTGATGATACTTGAACCTTGGCAGTTTAAAACTATGAGAAACAACGTACGTAATGTGTGTGTGTGCCTTGCCTGTCTATGCCAATTGAATATAACTAAAACTAAATAATGAAAACTTTTTAATCAAAGAAAACTCAAGGCACATATTGCTTCACTAGTCTGTCGAACATTTAAGGAAAAAGTAATATCCTACATAAACTCAGAAAAGAGGTATTTTCTCAGAAAACATTTTATGAGGCTCTTTTTATTACTTGAATCTAAAGCCAGGAAAAAACCAAAACAAAACCAGTCACTGAGGAAAGATAGGTGTAACCCATGAAAATAAAGACAAGGAATAATATTTGGAATATATAAAGAATCTGTATTAGAAAAATACATTCCAGTAGAAAAGTGGGCAGAAGATGTAACCATAGAATGAGAATGACCAATAAACGTGAATTCTCACAGTTAACTAATACATTTTTTAAGTAACTAAAACAAACTATTTCACACTCATTGGCTTGGCTAATTTTAATGTTCAATAACCCAAGGGGTAGTGGTGGGGAAACAAACTTAAATGGCTCTCAGGAGAGTGCTGGTAGTGCTGGGTCAGGAGAATGGGCACGGCCCCTTTAAGAGAGCCACTCCAGTCCTTGGCATCACCTCCACGGAAACTCACGTGTGCAAGGATGTAGAACGTTCACTGCAGCAATAATTTACAGTCATGAAAAAGGGGAAGTAAACCACCTGTCAAAAGGGTGTCTTATTTATCTATCAAAATACTGTACAACAATGAAAATAAGCTACATTTGCCAACAGGGATAAATTCTCAAAAATGTCGAGCTACCAGTTCCAGAAAGATATGTACGACATAATATTCATGTGAAATGTTAAAACACAAACCAATTCTTAATAGTCTATGGATAAGCGCTACAGCGAGAATACAGAAATATTAACAGAACAAAAACACCAAATTTAGAATAATGATTTTGAAGACAAAGGGAAGGATCAAAGCTAGATCAGAAACTGTCAGCAGAGAAAGATCTATAAAAGCAAAGTCAGCAAATGGTTTGGAGCTGGAGTTGGCAAACTTTTCCATTGAAAGGCTGGAGAAAATATATTTTAGGTTGCAGGCCAAAGAGGTGAAATCAAAGATTTTACATAAGTACTTCAGTAGGGTTCAAATTTAGTGGTTTTTAATCACCAAAATTGATAGTCATGATTTTTTCCCCCCCAACCATTTAAACACACAGAAAAAAACCACCCTGGCTGGGTAGCTTAGTTGATTGGAGTATAGTCCCATACACCAAAAGGTTGCAGGTTTGATTCCAGGTCAGGACACATAATTAGGTTGTAGGTTCAGTCCCTGAACTTACGGACTGAACCTAGAAGGTAATGGATTGATGTTTTTCCCCCCTTTCTCCCTCACTAAAACCAATAAACATTATCCTTGGGTGTGGATTAAAAACCAAAAACAAACTATTTAGCTTGCAGATTATACAGAAGCAGGCAGGGGGCGCTGTTTGGCCCCAAGGCTGAAGTGTGCCCCTGCTGGCCCAGAAGGGCGTTTTCCAATGTAACTTTCTCTGCTGGTGGTAGAGATGCTCCTGCATCTGCATCATCCCCAATATGGTAATCACGAGTCGTATGTGGCTGTTGAGCCTTTGAAATGTGGCCACTACAAAGGATAAATTAAATTTTAAGTTGTAAATTGTATTTAACCTTAAGGTAGTCATTCAAGAGTTTTTATGAATGTAAAGAACAGGTGTAAAGGGAATGGTTGAGTAAATAGTGGAAATAAAGAGATCGTGGTGGAAGAGTAAGACATGAATCAGTGAGGACTGATATTTGACAACAGGGACATCCCAATTTAATAGTAAAGTGCATGGCTTTGGAGGTCAGGAATAAAAAATTTGGGCTAATGAAAAGGATTTGGAGTGTGACTGATACAGAATGCAGAAAGATAGGAAGATACAGTCAAGAAAATTTGAGGTCAGGGTTGGAGGAGCTCCCTCAGTAAAACAGAAGTTGTTGATCATGGACCTGGAGGTCCCACAGTGGAGAGCTGAGAGAAGCATGAAGTTGAGAGTTTGGTGGGAGAGCTGGGAGCTTCATGGCGATGACTACAGAGAAAACCAAAGTGTGGGGAGAGAAATGTTCAAGAAGGATGAGAAAAGTGAGGGTGAGAATGTAATATGACTAGATACGTGTTCTTTGATGTTTAAAGACCAGAAGAAAAGCACAAGCACTACATTATGCAAATTTTATTGCTCTTTAAAAGTGGATAACTTACAGTGCTTTAAAGAGGTATATCAAGCAGTGGCTTCAAACTTGCAGAACTGAACTAATTCCCTCTCACTGGCTGATCAAAAATACAAAAAACAATCCTTGGCATTCATACATTTAACTTTTAGTTTTATGATTAAATAAGTAACTATCCTGAAAGTCCATGACATAATTTGTGATTTTACTGAAGTATCACTTTGAGCAATATACATCCAGAGCTTGGGGTACAGAGTTACTTACCTAGTCCCTCATCCTAAGCAACCATCAAATCTCTGGTCATGAGCTAATACACATTTTATCTGAAAAATTAAATATAATAATGGGATAAGTGAACCACAAACAATAGGTATAGCCTGCAGTGAATGTCAAGAATTTATTTTATTTATTTTTAAACCCTCACCGAGGACAGACTTAATGATTTTAAAAAGAGAGAGGAAGGGAGAGTAGGGGGAGAGGGGAGAAACATCAATGTGAGAGAAAAACATCGATTGGTTGTCTTGTATGTGCTCCAACTGGGTACTG